AAAGTTTGTCTCTCTCGATGGGTTGGGTTGCTATTCATAAAGCTATCGCAAAAAAGACATGTCAGGATTCACTATCCATCCACTTCGTTCTTTTCTACTTATCACATCGAAGTAACTGTTCAAGACGTTAGTTTAATTTGTGACTTACAAGAAATTGAACGTTTACTGTCGTTGCTTGTTTCAGGCGGATTCGACATACCATATTGACCTTCGGTCACTTCCTTTTTGATGTCTTTACACTTGCGGCAAAATGCATATTATTATCTCTCGCTTATAAATAATCATACGCGGAGATGCTTGATCAAATCAAACTAGAATCGCCGAGCGAAAGAATATTGAAAGGTGTTACGAGAAGCGCTAAGAGGAAGATACGGTACATAGTGAAGAAACTATGGTTTTAATCGAAAAGAAAAAAGATCTTTGCCGATAGCACGTCTGGATAGCTTGACAGAAAAAAACGTGGCCGTTACATCAAACACGCACGTTAGTGCACATCGATTACCTAGTACATCTATGCCGGCAATCGGTTCTAAGATAGTTATCTTAGGGCTTCGAGTCCTCTGATTAATGGCATTTTAATAGATCAAGTCACGCATCCCTTTAGCGAACAATCACATCTCTGTTTAAACATTTTTTTTATTAATATCACGTAATTTATCGGCACATTATGCACAATTCAAAGACATTGACTTGCAAATACACATGCACAAACTGTTTCATTATAAATTATTCATTTTTTGTAAAAATGAAAACAAGCGATGTGATATTTCACAAAATAACTTTGCTATCATTATTACATATTTCTATCTGTATTGCAATTTAATTAACTTTTTTATGTTGTTTATATATATATATATATATATATATATATATATGTATATATAAATGTGAGATTTTAAAAATTCAAACAGCAGTCTTTTTTATCGATAAATATTCTTTGCCGATCCATGGGTCCGTGTCGGACCTTCGTGTGTCGGGAAAAGCTCCGATCCAGCTTTGCTGGAAACCGGAGCTCGGTCTTTTTGGCCTTTTCTCCACGATACGCTGTCCAACGCGTCCGTGCAGATCGGCAACCGGTTTTCCTATAGCCTCTCCCAACCGATCCTTCACTCCTACTCTCACTCCCACTTGTGTGTTTCTCATTTCAGAACTGTGCGCATTCTCCATATTCTACATTCTCATCCCTCGCAGTGCCATAACATTACGGTGCCAACACATCTCCCCAAATTTATGTCTTCGAGGATGAGTACAATCGGCAATGTATTTTGTATTGTGAGTATATTATATATTGTGTTGAATCATCGTAAACAAATGTAAATATATGTAATCTCATGATTTTAATTATCCATGCATGAGAGAAAGGAAAGAGATAAACACTGATGATTGAGGGCATTTACCTGATTCACTTTTTCATAAGTACTTATTTGGTACACAAGCGTCATCATTTAAACATTAAAATAATTTAAAAAAATTAAGAATTTTTGTAAATATTTTTACACGTGCGCGAAATCACCAAATTTATACAATTTATTTGAAAAATGATCGCGCTATTACTTTTTCCATACAAACCAAGAGTGACTTAAGCAGGGAAACTTCGTTTATTCAAACCCTATATCTTTTTATCATTCACAGAAAACTCGTATATGCACATAACGATGTTATGCATGTTGAAATGCAATTTCTTCCTGTAATCTTCCAGTTAATTTTTTTAATTTGAAAACACATCTAAATATTTCAACGTTGGACTTATAGCGTCTAATTAGCATGCTATGCAACTGGCTACTCCTCGTAATTCTCATTATATTTTATTTTACGCATTGGAGAGCGATCATGAAAAGCAAAGACGACTTGGTGAAACTATTTTGCCTTATCCTTTTTCCACTCGGCGAACGTTTTCGCTTTCTGATAAAACTCCTTGCGGTTTCTAGGCTGGATAATGAATAAATAATAACTTTATGACTCGCACATGGGAAAAATTCCGCAAGTAACAGCTATACAAAAACACTAGGAAGCAAGTGGTTTTGAAACCGCGAGAAATCTCATTATCTTTGAACACGCGCGAGTGCGGCCTGACGCTTCATTTTAACAGAGCGCGCGTCAATTTTCTGCATGACTCCATTCTCTTCACATTGTCGACTTTTTTAATCCACCATTGATAATATGCGCATAGCTTTGTGACGAAGATACTATGAAGAATCTGCTCGCGAATCGAAATACTTGCGGTTCGCACATTTGCGATCTAGCAATTAAGTATAATGTTAATAGCCGTGATATGACGAGGAAGAAAATAAGAGGATAGGCGCAGCAAAAGTGAGCTACTTAGATCGAGAATTCCACCTTCTCTTTCCTCGTCATCTCCTACTCGCACACATTGGCCATATGAGCGGACCGAAGTGTTCCCGCACCTCCTTCTGCAGAAAACGATGCAACTTTTCAAATATTTAAAAAAAAAATCTGGTTAATGAAGAAAAAGAGGAGTAGAACTTTTGCGATTCTACAACAAGCTGTCTTATTCATTACTCTATAAATTGATATACTTTTCCAAATAAACCCTCTAATTAGAAAATGATTATTATATAAATTATAATAATAATAATAATATTATTATTATTATTATTATATTAAATATATTATTCGTAGCTCTACGAGAGAACATAGATTTCTTTTATTGGCACACAATAAAAATTGGCGCGACATCGTTAAGATAAGAATGACAGATTTAATATTAGAATTTATTTTTTAAAATCATTTTGGATCACAAAAGTTTAATTTTTTATATTATTTATTAAAATTGTATTTATTAAAATTTATTTAAATTATAGACTCGGATACGTTTCAAAAGAAAGAATTGCCAACGCATAACCTTTAATCTTCGTTCTTTCCCGTTAGGAACATTAATGCGGGAGCTACCTTATATTGTTCAGTTCTCCCTTTAATTCCCGGACGGTAGCCAGTTAAGATCACAGCGCGGATTCTAGCAGAGAATGAAGGGTGAGTGAGAATATAAGTGCGTAATCACAAGCATGGAAAATTGTATTCCCGCTCACCTTCCCTTTCTTTCTGTGGCTCTCTCTCTCTCTCTCTCTCTCTCTCTCTCTCTCTCTCTCTCTCTCTCTTAGTATATTTTATTTTTTCTCTCTTGTATCTGCAATTGTAAGTCGACTTAATTACGGCTATTACATATGTGCCTGAATAATCAATTTTGCCGACTAGCGAATGAGAATTCAACGAAACCCTCGACGGGGGGTAGAATGATACGAGAAATCAATCGTAGTCTACTTATTACTAAGAGAAGTTAAACAAACATGCGAGTTACAACGAAGAAGAACGGATAGGTGACGAGAATACGAGATCGATTTTCTTTCTTATTAAAAATCTATTAAAAATTTATTAAAGATTTATGTTAAAATTAAAATTAATCAATATAGAATTGATTTCTTAAAATATCACAAAAGAAGCATAGCGTATTTTTTACTAAACCTTGATACGTTACACCGGACATGATTTCATTAATCACTTTAATTTACGTAACGATTGGCAATTTTCTAGTACAAATATAGTCATGGCAATGTTGAAAGATCTCGATAGAATGATTCACATCGCTGTTTGATTATTCAAATACGACGAGGTAAGTCATACGAGACGGGTGCACAAATTTCCGTGAAGGAGAGAAAGAAAGAATCGACACGCGGAGTAATTATTTTCCATCGCATGTTTTTTTCTTATGCAATTCTGCGCGCAATCGCTCTAATTTCACTCTTGTGAAATCACACAATTCATTCGACGTATCTAGCTATTATTAGGATTAATTAATTGTACGTCAACACGAAGATCCAGTGCAAAATATTGGAGCAATCTTGATTCCCAAAGCAATTGAACTTGCAAATGGGTTATTGCAACTATTATAATGTATGTTAATATAATGTGCATAGAATAACACATCTAATAGTATGTAATTAGCATTACTTAATAAAATATTGATAGTTTTCAGTCCATTTTTCGTCTTATTTATCTTTTTATTTATTTTAAACAGTGCTGTCCTTAACGGATAATTAACCCCCGTCTTGTTCTAATTGCAAATGTCGCGCGATTACAAACTTCGTTAACTATGGTTATTTTTTAATTGCACATTACACCAAGGATGATGCCATGTGAGCGCGCATTGTTTGTACAGCTCGCAAGAATTTCACTTCCGACAAAAGTGTCTTAAACAAGAAGATATGCCTCGTAATATTGCGTGACAAACATGAGGAAGGTTTTTACAGCTGTTAAATATGATCCGGAAACATATCAGTGAATTCATTCTCTTTGCGCTTGACTATTTTTAAAACGCGATATCCGCGCATGTCACGTCGTGAAGAGAAGTTTCTTAGGTAGTTGCAAAACTATCTGCATTCTTTGTGCAGTTTCTTGGTTGTCGGTTTGTTCTATCTTTGTCGGACATTATGTATTTTTATAAATAGTCGAACCGTGAAGCGAGTAGAAAAGAAACGTCACAGTAACGAGCTTAAAGTCAGTCATAACGAGCGCATTGCGCGATGCATGAGAGAACGTTTTAACCTTGACTGGCGCTTCAGGTAACTATGATCCTCGTGATACTTTGTGGGCATCGCAATCTAGGACATGCTATTTAGATGCGCGCACGTCAGGTGCTTCGAAACTTTACGATGTATTCTGACAGCTGGATTATACGGCTTATTATTCCCTACCGCGATTGGTATTATAATCGGTAACAAAAAGAAGTATGTCACTTTCACATTCACAACTGTCCTAGAAATTCATATTCCTTATTATCATAATTTCCTACAGCTAAGCGTGGCTATAAGATCTGTTAGCTGTAGATAAGTACATATGGTTTCGATATATTTCGCACAAATTATTTATTTCATATTTCTTACAAAATTCCTCCGTTTAAAACTTTTATTATTATTAAGTTAAATAAAATCATCATAAAGAATAATCACAAAAATTACTATCGCTATTAAACTTAGATTGCTCACCATTGGCGCGTGCTAGTCCGACGATGCATATCCAGCACAGGGCCAGTCTCCAGAAACGGTCAGCCATGTCCATTCTCCGGATAATTACGAAACGCTCGCGGACTGTGTACTCGCGATCGAGGACAAGTAAATAAAGAGAAAAGAAAGAGGAAGATGGGAGGAAAGGAAGAGGATTCGAATATTTTCGTATTATTCGCGAGGAACTCTCATTTAGTTGGGCATGCTCGCTTCTCTGTAGGAGCGGCTCTCCTTTCTCACCGATCGCGGGATCTTGCGTCGCGAATAAGCCCGTCGGTGGAAAGGATCGAAGACCGGAATGGGCCTTGATAAAGACGCGCGAGCGATGTTCCCCGTGCGAGCACGCGAAAGACACTGACGGGCCCAGCGAGTGGCGGAAGAGTTTGAACCGTCAGCGGACCCAGACTGCAGCATCGGCCAATGGCGTAGAAGTATAGACACATTAGACACATTATGGTACAACAGATAACTTTATATAACTTTAATTGAATATTAAAATTTATTGGTGCAAATTACCAGATTGAATCTCTCACTCAGCTTCAGAAATTCAACAGAGATTTAAATAAAAATGGGATAAATAAGTAAATATCGATAAATTGATATTATGCTTGAAGATAGTTGTAATAGTGATAATTTCTTATTGTTCTTCATTTATTACAAAGAAAAATAATTAAAAATATAGAATTTACTTCGCTTTTGGATCCCTCATCAAAAATTGGATCACCATTTATTAGAATTAAATTACTTCTTTCTATAATAATTACATTAGCTAAATTAAATCATTGAGCATGTCTAGAATGCCATTGTAATGGGCATGATGGATCCCATACCACGCCATTGTCATTGAGAAACAAAAGATACATGAATGAAAAAATGGCAACCGCGAACCAATTGCAGAGGTAGAAATCGTGCGAATGTGTATGTGCTGGCATGTATTAGTATACGCTTATCTGATAACTGGAATGTGCTCGCGGGGCTCTAGAATAATTACAATAAGATATAACAAATCTCACGTTAATTGATTTATAGACCGATATATCGAGTAGAATTCATCGATGTATCCTGAATAAAGGCGGGTTCTTCCATCCTGCGGTCGATCGCGCAGATAGAATAATACGGGATCCCATGGTTTCGGGCCTTAGAGAGAGACGCCGTCTTAATATACTACGATGAGTCGAAAGTCGACCCGGCAAAAGAACATTTCACACAGACTCGTACTCAATTCTTTTTTTATCCTCGAAGCACGAACAGGCGATGTTTTTAACGTAGGCGTGTGGGGCCAACGGCACCTCTCGCTCTGGGCCTTACATGGATGCATCGTGAGTCACTGCCCAAAGCGGCGTATGTAAATGTATTCTGCTTACTTTATTCATATGCTCAGGGTATGACGACTGTCATAAATAAAGAGCGAGTTTTAAAAAAACATAAGAATGATATATATCATGATAAAGTAGCATAATTTATAATAAATTAAAAAAGTAATCTCCAAAAGTATAAATTAACTTAACACAAAAGAAGATATAAAAAAATATATAAATGTATAATTTTTTTTTATCGACGGAAATAATAACCACGTAAAATCTGAGTGTATTTATCTTCCTCGAGTCACATCTTTTTACAACAAAAAGTCAGTAATGTCAACGTTACCGTAGCAACGTTCTCTCAACAAGAGAAGAGGCAAATGTAAATTTACTTGTGCCTCAAGGAACTTCGAAATCTCCGAAGTCACAATGAAGGCCAGACAACGTCTGTCTCGAGAATATCATCGATTCATGGGAATACCATTTTGTGGTACACACACTTTGTGAGAGCTCGCAAAAGCTCATGTACTGTATTTTTAGCCATTATTGAGTCTCGGGTGAAAGTGTTCGACTGCATGTTTCGCAACTTATACGATATCAAAACCGCAACGAGAGACCTCGAATCAATACAAAAAAAACTTGTTTTCTCAATGTTATTTATGCTTCCATTTCGGATTCATCCTTACGATAATTTACCGTAAATGGAAAAAAATAATATAACAATTACAATTTATATTTTTCACGTAAATATATATCAATCAGAAAAAAGATAATCTCAAAAAAGGGAAAAGAAAGATAGATATCTATTATTGCCATAAGATTATATCTTTAATTTTAATGAATCCCTCCTCCGGAAGATGTTTAGTGCTTTGTGCCGAGAAGAACTTGGTTAATTAAGCATTAAACCAGCGTTAATCTCGATCGAGAGGGGCAGCCGACCGAGCAGAACGCCCAGCAAGCGGCGGCGTGTGTATAGTTTATTGTTTTTTTTCAGTATATTTGACCAAAGCAATATTAATCAAACACGTCGTGCGTCGTACAATTTAAATTCCCGTTAATCTGCTAGAGACTTCGAGCGAGTATTGTCTTTTCTCCTCTCGCAGATATCTAGCCATGCAGGGGGTAATCGATAATTGTTATTGCGCGACGGCGTTAATGAAATGCTAATAATCGACGAAATGAAACGAAAAATCTCCAACAACGTAATTGTCTCCGATAATGCTAATAAATCCACGATAATGGGATATTCTTTGCGGAAATAACTTCCACTGTTTCTCGGCCTCATTAGAGAATTCTCCCCCTTCTTCTTTCACTGCGACGGAACACTCTGTGCTTAATCGTGGATACTAATTACAACCTTCACAGGATAATGAAATAATCTTACTACGCGTAGCTCGGGAGGCTGCTGACTTCCTTGAGAATTTTTTCAGCGCGTCGCACGAGCGTTTTATTAGTCGCGGGATAGAAACAGGTAGACGACGTGATGGCGAATTAATCTCGTGGGATTATAACGTGGATCGTTATTAAGACGTATCATTCGCTAATCAACTAGTCTTTTCATTCATTTAACAATCATAAATTATTGGCACGAAGCTATTATGCACATTTTCTTTATGTATCAAATCTCGGTTAATCAATGTGAAATAATAGAATATGACTTGAACAATATGTATATTTTACAAAAATAAATACACGACGTTCAACGTCCTTATCTTCGAACGATATATAATACGATTTATGTACAATCTCGACGATATTCACATATATATATATTAATTTATTTTGCAATCATATCGTTTCGAACTTCAACGTGACATAAAGCGTATGATAGAAGCCTAAAATAGTTGAAAATTTTAAACAAGCTAGCATACATAAAGGTACTTTTGTACATTTTACTGTTTCTGCTGAACGTAAAATATCTCTTTAAATATTTTAAATATTAATTTTATCACATTAATAAAATTTCATAATATAAATATGCAGAAGGAAGCAATAATTATCACGAAGTACAAACTTGTCCTAAAGCTAGCGGACGAATCGGAGCTATGTTGATTCAAGATCTGACACTGCGAATTTCTATAGTGCTTGACATTTCCCTCGGAATCGCGTGCGAGCACGCAAAGTTCATATTTGATGTTCGATTCGGTGAGATCATGGATCCTGAAGGAACGGTCGCTATAAATGACGTCCTTCTCGATCATGGATTTGCTGCTGCCGGATTCTCGAACCACTACGTAAAAATCACCGATGTCCTCGCGGGACGTCACATACCACGTCGCTTTCCAACTATTGTCCTCATTATTGCTAAAGAGAATTATATAATTTATAATTTTTAAAAAATTATTTATCAGAAAATAATTTTAATTTTAAATAATAAAATGAAATAATGAAATTAAATAATGAATTTGACTGAAATAACATACTATTCGATACTTCGATATTTCACATCGGGTGTAATATCGAGTTCAGGTTTCTCTTGAATGTCTCTCTCGTTGCAGCTCATAAGATCCTCGGTAATCTCCGAGATAGGCTTGTTTGCGAGATAATTTGGACTCTCGCACGTCACGTTCGACCATTCTGTCGGGAGCAGCGTTTGAGTCTTCAGCCATCTCTTTAACGGCCGCGCATGACAATCGCAGTGCATGGGATTTCCTAAACATAAAATATCTATCTTAATAATGATAAAAAAATTTCATCAGTACGATAATTCCTTTTATTAAATATAATATTAATTTTTTAATATTAATTTAATATTAATCCCTTAATATTAATTTCTAATTTTTCAATTTATTATTAATTAATCACATATATATAATTACTAGAGTCTCATTATACTTTGTCAAATTTAATTATTTAATTTTTTACCAAAATATCTGAGCATTGTGCCATTTTTGATAATCTTCATAAATCTCTCATCGAAAACGCCGATTTCGTTTTCTTCCAGATTGAGAATTTTTAAGTTTGGTAATGGTAAAATTTTATCAAGAGGCACATAACTTAGATGATTGTTACTTAGATGTAAATTGGTTAAATTTAACGGCGGTAGAAAAACATCTTGATCAGAGATATCACTTATATCGTTGTACGACAGATCCAAAGTCTCCAAAGCTGTTAAATTTCCGATTACATCTAAAACAGAGCAATTCTCTAATAAACGAGTTTTGGCGAAAAATGTAAATGGTAAAACGTTACATTGCTAACTAATTAATTATCGAGACTATTAAAAGCAATTTATTACTCACATCTCCTAATCTCATTAATATTGTTATGAGAAAGATTCAAGTATTGAATCTTCTTGGCACCGGCGATAAGGTCGAAGGTCACAACCGGCATTGTGTTATAAGATAAGTCGACTTCCTTTAGCCTATAAGGGATCCAGGGATCGTTTGGCAAAGTTTTCCGAGTAATAAATGAAATCTTGTTGTGGCTAAGATTGAGCCTCTCCAGAGACAAACAGTCGTCGAGCAGTCCATGCGTCTTGTTGTCCAGTTTCTCTAAACTATTGTGCGATAAATCGAGAGTCCTCAGAGACACGAGACCCTGAAATGCGCCGTTCGGTATGTGGCTGATATTATTGCTTGTCAGATTCAGTGTCAACAGCTGCAATAAACCCTCGAACGCACGGCTCGTTACATTATTTATCCTATTATTCGCCAAATTAAGTTCAAACACTATTGGCAAACGGCCGAAGGCAGCTTTCTCTAGCTTTGTCATATAATTATCCTGCAATATTTTCATTAGATTAGAATTTGCAAAATTATTTGTACTAAAAAAAAATCAATTTTCTATGAAATTTTTTTGTCTTACTTGTAGATAAAGATACTGCAAACTACTTAAACCGCTCAGCGCTTGCCAGGGCGGTTTCGTGATATTGTTAGCTTGCAGATTTAATATCCTCAAAGTCAGCAGATTTTCAAAGCTTTTTTCTTGCAGATTATCGCCTAGTTGATTATGCGAAAGATCTAGCGAGAGTAACGCGTTCATAGTAGGCCATACATCGGTGCTTGGGATTTCTTCCAGTAGATTCTCCGAGAAGTCCAAATGACTTAGAGAAATTGGCAGTTGGAAAATCTTTGTCAGACGATTGTTTCTCACCGTCAAACTCCTAAAATTTAATACACATTTATAATATGTAAAGATATTTTTAAATCTCATCAATGTACGATGATGCACCTGCAACTAGCCAGTCGAGTAAGACTCCCTCGCGAGACATCGTTTAATTGATTATAACTCATATCGAGTTCCAAAAGCGTCGGCAATGGCCCGAAAGTCGACGGTTTTATCTTCTCCAGAGAATTATGCGACATATTTAAAAATCGCAGACTGAAAAGCGTCTGAAATACGGCATTGTAAATCTCAGATAAATTATTGTGGGAGATATCGATCGTGTGAAGCTCGTACAGCTTAGGAAATGTCTGCCGTGGAACGGAATGTATTAAATTGTAAGAGACATTTAGTACTTTCAATCCCGTCATATTGTGCAATGGAATCTGCAAAAAAATACTTTTAACAAAGTTAAATATAATAAAGTTGGATATAATAAGTATGTCTCGATAGGAAAATCGTCCAATCGCTTTTAAAGAAATGCACTCACTTGATTGAGAGACGTAAATAAATTATAACTGAGTTGCAGCTCCATAGCGTATGACACGCTATCGAAAGCATATTTCGAAATATTCTCGAGTTTATTGTGGCTGAGATCTAATGACGTAATATTCACGCAATTCTCGAAGGCACCTGGTTCAATCTTTGAAATTTCATTATGAGACAAATTTACTTTTGCCAAGTAAATGTCTTTGAACGCTAATTTTTCCACGATCGTCACGAAATTCTCGGAAACATCTAGAAGCTAATAATAAATATATTATTAAGAAGAAATGATGAAACATGAATATAATTTTTCGAGTACTAATGTACATATACCTCAATAAACTGCAATTGATTAAACATTTGGAAATCAATCTTCTTGATGAAATTCCGAGAAAGATCGATGGTGCCGATCCTTGTAACAGAACCAAAGGTTCCACGACCCACGTCATTGATTTGATTGTCGCTCAAATACAATCGCCTGAGAAAACGCATGCCACGAAAAGTATTGGAATCCAATTTTCTGATTTTATTGTGACTCAGATTCAGAACTTTCAAGACGGAATTTCGGGCAAAGGTTCCTCTAAAACGAAAATACTCTTAGATATTTCATATCGTAAAAAATCGTAAAAAATTGTTCGTTTTAAGCTTGTCAACCTCTTCAAGTCGGAGATAGCATTATGCGACATGTTGCACCATCCCATCTTGACGAGATCTGCCAAGTGAGATGTGTCTAATTTGTCAATCAAATTGTGAGAGAGATCCAGAAATTCAGTATCTCTTAGACCTTTGAATTGATTCTTTTTTAGATCTTTTATTTTATTATCGTGGAAATCGAGCGTTTTCAACTTTTTGAGCGGTGTCAGTGCTTCGGCGGGCAAAGAAGATAGCGTACCTGAAAAATATAATCTAATCTGTCAAGAGTTATGATTAATTAAATAATTTATATTTAATTAAACAATCTCTATAAATACAAAAAATTGATATTAAATGCAAAGTGTATCTCTCGCAGCATCACATCAAAATTCAGAGCTTGCAAATTTATGTTGTCTTCAAACTCTGCTAGGATTCATCTAGAAAATTGTATTTTCTATCAATGATACTTTACGATGAAATCATATTTACCGTTACTAATCTCCAATTTTTCCAATTTTGCAGCCGCCGCGCTTTCACTGAAACTATTTCCCGGCAAAGTAGACATCCGGTGGCCGGTGATGCTCAACAAGCTAAGATTGCCGAGAACTTGCAATGCTTCTCGTGGAAATTTCTCTAGGTTGCTGTTTATTATATGGAACTCCTGAAGAGTTCTATTTACACCGAGAAAGCTGTGCTCCTCGATCAATCTCAATGGCGTGTCGATAAACCTCAACACTCGTACATCCAACGGATACAGAGCGGGTCCGTAAAAACGTACTATGAAATCGCAAAAGTGGATTAATTAATTCTAATTAAATTTTTCCATTTTCCACGATATGATAATCATATTTTCTTCGCGCACGTTTTTCTTTCTTCAACATGAAATTAAATCTCACCTATGTTGCATTTATACAGAACCAGTTCTTCGATCGGCATGCCCTCATTCCCCAGATTTGTGAAGGCGAGGCTGAGACTAGCCAGATTCGTATTTTCACAGTAAATGTATAAACCCCTATCGCTACCCCGAAGACAAATGCAGGGGTAAATATAAATCGGGTCCTTGGGACATGCGAATCTTGGTCCAGGTGGCACGTAGCCGCCTATTACGGACAAGGCCATACCCAGTAACAATAGCGGCGATAGCATTTCACCTACACAAGAAATGTAAAGAAAATAAGATTTTACTAACTCTTTTATAATTATATTATATAATTATAATAATGATATTGATGTATAGTGCAAATGTATACCAAAACATTTTAAATTTTGTGGAAAAAGTACAAGTTATATATATATCGTATGAAAGCTGCATTAGATTTTCTCTAGCATAAATTAAAATCAACAAGAAGTTACGTTGGGAACCTTTTGTTACATCTACACCATATTATTTCTTATATACATTGCTTATATAAGATTAATAATGATATCTTTCTCCCTGTCTTATACAGAAGGTACAAGTAATATCTTTACTAGGACGAATATTTCGATTAGTCATACCATGATGCAATGCATATGTGAAAAGTGGGAAAGTTTTCGCTGTATGAATAACTTCCTTGGTTAATCGAATACGCAACAGACCGATAACCATACAAATAAAGATTTTCTTGAAAATCGCAACTGTTCCTTCGCAAAATCTTTGGTAAGCCGACAAATCATTAAATCGCTCTTTCAAAGTTCTTTACCCCGTGCCTGCTTTTTTTTTTAAAACTGTTATATCGGTCGCTTAATTCACGATCTGATCTCACCGTCTATTATCCCACGCAAGCTAACGAGAACCCGCGATTTTCTCGATACGTGAGACGCGGAGGTGACTAACCGCTAAGATCATTATGATAGCCCAAAAGTGTCCTTGAAGAAGAGTCTCCGTTCTTTTCAGCCGTCGACGCGACCTACGCACGGCGTGATCTACGCATTACGGGATAAGGTGACGCGAGAAATTGAGACTTCATGGACGACATACTAGCTTTACCGATTCATTATTCAACCATAATTAATTCCACGTATCGATGGCGATATCACGCGATCCCAATGAAGGAAAGCGTGTAGCTGCACGATCACGTTTTCGTTACGTCGCAAATTATAAACTACTGTAGCAACATTTAACCTGTGCATCAAATGATTTTGCTTAATATGTTGCTTACTTTACGTCAGAGAATTATGAAAGCGACATTTGTCCATCCGGAAATGTTAATGCAATTAGTCGAATTATTAGTTTTCACTGTACACCTACACAATATATTATTCACAACGCGAAGAAAACATCCGTGAAGCTACCCGTGTAACCGTGCATGAAATTTCGATAGAAAATCAACTATTACGTGCAACGGCGCTACGTTGCAGTTATTGCAAATTGATCGTTTTTCTTTCGAAACTTGTCGACGATTAGCAAATACAATCTCCGTATAATAACTGTCCTCCTTTCGAAGATCATCATCTGGCCTTTATGCTGATCGACAATGGGTGGATTTGGAAAGATCATTTAGCCATGCAGAAAAAATATAATCATCGTCATTTATTAATTAGATCTTGATGCAACTGTTATAGATCATTATTTCCAATTATTTATTTTGTTGAATTCGAATAAATTCATATTTCCTTTGCTAAGGAATATTTGATTTAATCTCAGTTTTATCACTTTAATTAAAAATTGCAGTAGCATAGAAAATTAGGAATTATCAACTTATACTTTCGATAGCCCAGTATCTGCTAATCGAGATCGTAACAAAGTTCTCGCAATTAACGGCAGCGTGCAATTAAAGTAATTGTGGGATCCACCGATCTGAGACATGGAGAACTATGCCTTATTATAGCCCTAGTAATTCAGCGAGCAAGAAAATAAAAAGAAAGGCACTATGATCTAGTTTAAGCAACATTTATGCAACGTTCGCGATATAATATACTGACGCTATATGTAGAAAACACAATAATATCTGCATTACATTTATAAGCGAAAGAGATTCACACATTGTTCTTATAGATATCAGAAAAGATATATCCTTTTGAATAAAAGTATGCTTACAGAATTATGCAAAGCTTTTATTAAGCTATTGTCGCACAAATCTGCAAATTTAAGAGACAATGTAATGGTAATCTCTATAAGCAAAGTAATATTACTGAGAAAAACACATGCGCCTTTCACTTATTTCAATTGATCTCTTTCCCTCGTAAATCAAGGAACTAGTCGTTGAACCGAATCATGTTGATCTCTCGTGATTTCAAACTCGTAAGAAAACTTGGACCTAAGAAAAATAAGCGTCATTGACGTAAGACACTGGTAACATTCGATATCAGTTATCTCATATACCTGAATCGCAACTCGAAAGGTTATTCCTAATTTATATCTGTGGATGCGAGAATATTTAGAAATTCGATGAAAAATTATTAATAATAAGGATAGACTTAAGAACGTGAGATAAACACGACTTCCGTTTCTTGAAAACGGAAAGAACAACGGCAGAGAGAAAAAAAACTTGTGCCACGCTCTACTTTCTGAAAGTCTATCAATTAGAGCTATTGTGTTAGCGTAACGAAGGTAGTCAACTTACGTAAAAAATGCACGACTACCTTAAAAAGTACTATCGTATTATCACAATTAAATATTATAAAATTAAATTTTATTACGAGAAATCGAGAGATCGCACTTTTTCTATCATCTTTTTGATGTAGCAGTTGTAGATTATTTTCGTGTTTTACCACTCGTCCTTGTGAATACCGTGCTATCTACAGTATTGTCCATATTTTTTTATAATATGGAATTTATTCCTAATAATAAATTTTTATAAATTGGAAATAAATTAAAAAAGAAATTTAATAATTAGAGATTTGGCTCAAATAATCAAAAAATCAAAAAGAAAATGGCATAAGCGCCAATGCGCGGTAGTTGAAGCGCAGAGAAGCAACACTTCTTTCTTTTCTCAATACCAGTTTATTAAAAACATATTATAATAACAAAAAGCGAACGTTTCGGATCGCTTTTTGTTACTATAATATGTTTTTAATAAACTGATATTGAGAAAAGAAAGAAGTGTTGCTTCTCTGCGCTTCAACTACCGCACATTAGCTCTTATGCCATTTTCTTTTTGATTTTTAAAGAAGAAATCTTTAAAAAATAAAAAAATTTGTAAAATTATGTTTATAAAATATGTAAACAATATTACAAAATTCTAATCTAAAAATTAAAATATATATACACTAAATAATGAATATAATAAATAAAATATTTAACAATTTAATTTTATTTACTTGCATAAGAAAATAATTACAAACAGTAACAGTAACATTATTATAAATAAATAAAATTTTAAAAATTGCGCAGAATTTGTTTTTTCAACTAAATATTGAAGCTATTTCAAATAATAGGTGAAGAAATATAACGTTTTGCAGTGATTAAAGTCACCGTACGGTGAGAAGCGGAGAGCTGACGCACCTAACAATACACGTGGACGCTCAACCGAAAAATGTCACGGAGTTAGCACAGCATTGTATTTAAAAATATAGCAAAATTAATGAATCGCTTAATTGATCATTTCTCATCAATAATAAGAAGTGAACAGTATATTTGATTACTTCAACGATAATCGATAAATTGAGAAATTTCTAAGAAATGACATTTCAACATTTTTTAAACAATTTTAAGATAATGGGAACAAGTTTATTAATCGTCAAAAATATGTCACATTACCTTATTGTGCACTTTCCCCGAGAATCCTCAAAAATACGAAAATCGTCTTGGTCTTTTTTTTAAATACACTGCTGATATCTTCAAGGTTACATGTTTGCCTGCGAGCGGTTTATCTTTTTTCTTCTACAATGCAAGGATGGAAAGAATGAGAGAAAGAGAAGAGCAGAAAGGAATACACACGAGTGTTTTAGCCGCGTATCTTTAGGACATTCTGTATGTGGTTCCCGGGAGAAGCTGTCGTGAAAACTGAACCGAGGCTCGGAGGCGAAGAGAAAGGCAGCCTGAGAAGTAAGGCCTCTCTCATTGGCAGTTGATACCTGCTGTCCTTTCGTGGACGTCCTATCTTTTGCTACCGACTTGCCGCAAGCGCGATCATATTTTGATAAAATATGACCGTATCTCGGAAGGTCATGGTTGATTAGAGCTGCATTTTAATCGATCTTATAAATTTCCTATTAAAATAATAACTATGAAAAATACACAAAATTCTATCATTTTTATAAATAACTTAAAAAATATTAATTTATATATTTCTAATTTTTATTTTCTTATAAAAAACTGATAAAGATTATTGAACACAAAGAATTATTATAAATTTTGTGAATTTTTTTGCTCTTTTAAATTGTTTTTCTCTCCTTTTCTTTGCCCATTTTATTTAAATTATAAATTTAATAAATGAAAAAATTGTGTAATTTTAATATATTTATATACGATATACGATTCTGGCAAAATCTCATATAAAAGAAAGTTAATCATATCGAATAGTATGTGCTTAGGATTCGTTGGTGCTAGTGGTTGGTGAAAGTATCTTTAGAGCCTGGTGATATCCAATTGAATCAAGCTATTCACAGCATGAAGCTGACATCTGTTGGTATATAGACAAATTGAAATAAACATTTTCAACCAGAAAGTTTAAATAAAATAATAAATTTAACAAAATTTTTGTAAATATTGTTTTCTTAATATTACAAAATTTCGATAAACTCATTTTATTAAAAATGCATGTTCTTTATTTTCCTCTTTTTTTCTTTTTTTGGCTAATTTGTTTAAATATCTTTGATCTCTCCTTGAAATTATATTTCTTGAAAATTTCTTGAAAAGAATATTCTTTAAAAATACCCATCAACACAACAGGATATAATAGTTAAGCATCGTTTAAACGATAATGAAAAAGAAGGAGAAGTCTTTTAAGAAATTATACGGTTATTAAGATCATGGAGCTCTTCAAGTTCTGCAGTTTCAAATAAAGAGCTCACAATGCAGTCGGTTATATTATCCATCGAGTCCGGTAACATCCAACTATAATTTCGGTGTTAAGCAAAACTTTGTATTAAAAATCGCGAGTTTTAAAAAATGAATTACTTTATATTCATGTTAAACTTATTATTAAGTGAGTCAAAATTATATAAAAAAATCGTATAATATTTGCTTAAATTTAAGAAGTTTCGTTTTGTATATTTTTCATTACAGGTGCAAATGTGACAAATCAATTCACTTTGGGTTATTTTGTAAGAATCTTCTTTTAATATTGTTCTGAAAATATTTGCAACAAATTTTATTGTTTTACAATCAAAAATTATGAATTGTATTGTAATAGGATAGAAATCATTTGGAAACTTACGAGGAGATATCGAGTGAACAGAACGATATTAATATCTTTGGCAATTTATCTTTTCGTTTTACCTGCGAGGGTATGCCGACTGGCTTTTATGCAGATGTGGATTACAACTGTAAGATATTTCACGTTTGCGAAAATTCCGGCGATGGATTTCCAGTGATTTGCGCTAACAATACAGTGTTTGATCAGAAACAACGAATTTGCACGGATGAAGAAAATATTGATTGCCAGCATGCTCATGAGTGGTATATGTTCTACTTAACAAAATAATAAAAGAAAATTGTACATTTCTCTATAAATATAAATAATTATTATAAATAATAATTATAAATAATATATAAATTATAAATAATAATTACAATATTAATTATTCATTATTACAGGTATCACTTGAATGAATTAATTTACTCAACAGAAATCGAATCAAAAACTGAAATCATAGAGGAAAATGAATCAAAAGTGGTTCAAGAAGACGCAATACCTTCCGTTTTGCCACTTATAATTGACTAAAGATATTCTTGTTTTGCTATGAGCTATATTCACATCGTTTTAGCGCTATACAAATCAATTTATTGCATGCTAGAAGCGTTTTATGTATGTGTAATGACAAGCATTTAATTCTTTTTGCTTTATTCAACATAAAGATACACAAGATAGTCAATTGCAATTATGCAATTCTACATTATTTGCAAAACTTCTTTCTTGGTATCAATTACTAGTAGAATTTTAAAAAAGAATAAATATTTCTTTAAGAGTCTAGAATAATATTTTATTTTGCTTTTGTATATTGATTCAATGTTCCAGTGATCGCGTGTACTCCTATAATCTTGACTCTGGTCTCCTTTGTGCTTGTGTTCCGATACTCCTTTTGCTACATGCAACGCGTAGAACTGAAACTGGTAAAAAAGAAAAATTAAAAGAAAGAAGATATGCACGAAGAAAACCTTCGATGTGGTAGTTCGAAGTAATCTCGAGTCTATTCCTGACCGTTTAAACCTGGCTTCTCAAGGTTCTTTCTTGAAAGTTGTAGAGCCAGTATTTTTGATATCGATGCAAATACATATGCAAAATTTTATTATATATATTTATTTATATATTTATATTATTTTAATTTATTATTTTAATATATTTCTTAATCAGATTCTATAAAATTCTTTATTACCTGTATTATAAATATCTACCTTTTTGTTTTTTTTAATAGTTTAAACAATTTATAAGAGCAAGAAACTATATCAATTACAATATAATTGTATTTTTACAAAACTTTGCAAATTCTAATTAAAGATTCATATGATATTAAGTCTAAAAGTGAAATGACTTATTAATTAATTAATAGTTATATACATAATATGTGTGAGGAGAGGGACAATAGCAATTGTACAAAATAGTTACACTTCATTTATTTTCAATCAAATAGCATAAAGAGCATATTTCGTCAGTTTTAAAATCTATGCTAATAGTTCAATATCTATTCTGTAGTATAATCGCATCATTTTTAATGCCATACTTGTTATATGATCTTTAAGAAAGAAATGTCACCCTCCACCGTAAAACCCCATGACAATGAAATAAATACTTCCTGCGAAATGGTATATATTTTTCCTATTTCACAATTCATTTGCGAGGGATGTTTCCACAATTATCTAGGAAAAAAATACCGTTTCTTCAGGTTTTAAATTATCTATATTCTAACTTTAAAGAATATATATTCTATTTTCGAAGCTTGTATTACTATGTAAGATTAACTTTATCGACAACTTATAAGACATATACGCATAAAATGCGTACAAAATTTTATGTCTAATTTTGTCTGATTTTATTTTCAGGAAATAATAATGCAAATATTTGTTAACGCAAAGATTGCATTGAACTAAAACATATAATTATCTCAAAACTATCTTGTGATATTAATGTGAAAGTTAAAGCTAATCCAATATAAAATTCGATTTGATTTAAACTGTGAGGAAACAACAGTGATTGTATTAATGTATTAATAATACTCTTATAACGAGATACTTAGTACAAGATTTTAATATAGTTTACATCAAAATAGGATAAATGGATTTAATCAAGCGAATCAATACTATTTTCCATACTAATTTCCATTATGATAGGATCTATAATGGTGTGGCCATGTAATACCCGGACCGGTCTTATCATTGTCGTAGACGTATTTAATCTTTTGATTTTCATCTCCAAATAAATTTTGGCGAAGCATACCGAATATAGCCGATGCAAGGGCCATATTACTAATCATTCCAGCTATAGAAGCGGCGGCTCTCGCATGAGCTAAAGCTGTTTGAATGAGGAAGCTTATTATAAAACCGATCCCAGGCATCATAGCGGTCATCTTCATCTTCAGCTCTCTTCCGAGATGTATCATGGCGCTCGTAATTTTCCTGGACATAATGTCTTCTCGCAAACGTGGCAACTGAATTCTCAATTCCGAATGCGTTTTCTTGTCGAGGAATGGCTCAGTGATCTTATTTTCGTTTTCTGAATTTTCGATTTTCTCCAATTTCCTTACAAGCTTATCAGAATACTTATTGATGAAAGATCTGAATTCCTTTGCGCGATGTTCTCTTTTGCGTTCTTCATGACTCTCTGTAGACTCCTTTTCGAGATTGTAAGCTATCTCTCCTTTTAAGGGTATTACTTTTAGTTCTTCTGCGTTTAATTCCGTCACATGGTCCTCAGGATTATTTTTCTTCAAATTTTCCTCGGTGAAAATCTTTAATCTGTCTGCAAACTTTTCGTTCAAGCGAGTTCCAAAGAGTTCGCCAAAAGCATTATAAGCATCTTCCGCATTGAGGAATTGAGCAATATTACCATCAGCAAAATCCGTCGCATTGGCCTTGATCTTATCCAGAAACATTGTGATTATCTGATCATCATTTATAGATCGCTTAATGTCCGCGTACTCGTCGCTGTCTTTCAAAAATTGAAAGTCTGTTTCTTGCACATCGACTAGGCTTCTCTCTCTCTTTTCCTTCTCCTTTTTAAGTTTTTCATTGTCCGGTCGTTGATCCAGTACTTCCTCCATGATGTCGCTAATAATTGTCAGTATACTCGGTAAATTCTTGTTGTCTTTGATCTTCGTAGCTCTACCCTCGCGGAATCCACTGAAACTGATGCCCAGTTCGCCATTTCCATAGCCCTTGATTGTCAGAAAACCTAGATTCGTCTGAAATTTATCCTCCATCGCTTTCTTATACCAATCTAAAAGAATATTTTCCGTGGATTCTTTTCTCATTAACAGTTCCTTCTCGAAATTATTCGTGGACATGCCAAAGAAACGCTCTACTTCGGTTTCTGTTGATCTTCCAAGAAAGCCGAAACCAGGCAATGATGGCAAGGACGGTAAACCGATCAAAGATGGCACGGCATTGACAATCATGGGCCAAACAAAAATACCTACGCATCTGATGAAACTCAAGCTGAGTATGCACTGAGCTACCTGAGTCATAAAACCTCGATTCGCGGTGTGCTCGTTAAAATCTTCTACCATTTTTAAGATCTCGTATTGATCGGCTGTCAGAGAATTCTTGACCGTAGAATTTAATGTATCCACGAAATATTCCTTTGGACTCTCGGGGGGTTTGTTTTTTAAAGCTTTCCTAAAATTCGAAATATTAACTAAAAGTTGAAGAAATTCAGATTCTGTGATATTCGGAAACGTGTTATTTATCATCGTTTCTGAGATAGGTTCAATCTCTTCGTCGATCTCGTAGTAAGAATTTAATAATTGATCGGCATTTCTTTTTTTTCTTTCATGTTTCTTGAACGATAAATCCGCAGGAACAAATTTCGAATCTTTTTGTTGCCGAATATCGGATAATTGGATTTTCTCTTTAGAAATATCTATGAGAATGTCCGACGGTTGTCCCAGATATCCAGGAACGACTCCTTGTTCGCCTGAAAAATAAAAGAAAATTAAAAATTGATAAAAATTTAATACTGAGAAAAAAAAGTCAGTCTATGTTTAACGGATAAGATTGATTCACCTACTGACGGAGTGTTTGCAGCTCTCGATATTCCACTTATCTGGTTTGTCTTCTTATCATTTGCTACTGTCGATTGAAGAATCGTCTGTTCTTGTGACTTTGGTTCCTGTGATGCATCCGATAAGATTGTAAACTGCGGGTAACTTAAACTGCCAAAGCTAGAAAGTCCTGGAACCTGAGGAACTTGAATCCCACCTGGTAACATTTGAGGGGGAAATGAAGGAAAATTAGGTAAGTTAGGCAAGCTAGGTAAGCTAGGTAAATTAGGTAAGCCTTCAGCGAAAGTTCCGGGAAAATTCGGAATTTGACCTGCCACGCCAGGAAGTTGACTTATGCCTGGAATCTGATTAATACCTTGACCCGATCCGGGAATTGGAAGTTGACCGAACAGCTCTTCAAAGTTCGGTAAAAATTGTGAAAATTGTTTCAAGGTCGGCCAAGTAATGTGCTGAGTGCAAGTTATAAAGTTATTATTCCTTATACACTCCAGCATGTTGGTTATATATGTGGGACGTATCGAATCCGGTATCGCTCTCTCTGTTAATCTGACGATGTTTCTTTCTCGAATAGTCAAAAGATCGTTTATTATAGGATTATTGATGTCTAAATAAGAGCCTTCAAAACGAAACGTCGAATCTTTGTTCAATTCTTTTAATATACTTTCTATTCTATCTTCGATCGCGTCAACATCAATCTTCGATGTATTTTCGTTAGACGTTGCTTTCTCTGAATAAGTATTTCGTAGCAAAATCGACGATGAATCGAGTTTCGATCTCAGCACGTTTTGACTTCCAAAGTCGGGGAAATTCGGTAGTCTTGGAAAGAATTGAGCGATAGTTGGCCAAGTTATGTCTCGCGTGCAATGGAGAAATGAATTTTCTCGAACGCAATTAACTATTCGCTCTACGAAAACTGATCTCACCGATTCCGGCAGTAGGCTTTCCGCGACATGAACAATGTTAACCTGCTCTTCCGTAAAGTAATTCTTCGTTTCCGGCAATTTCGAGGTAATGGAGTACAAAGTGCCCGATGTGGAGCTCTGTACGGCCTTGAGAATTTTCAGAATCACACCTTCCGGATGTTCCGAAAAAACGGGATAGAATCTGGTGTCAGTGATAGTAACAGTAGCGTCTCCGTGCTGATTAACCTTAACATCAGTCTCTGAAAATGGTGATGAATCAGTCAGATTCTGCGGTAAGACAGGCTTAACATTGCTCGTTTGAGGTTGCGCTCCGAAATTTGGGAAGTTGGGCAACCTAGGGAAATATTCCAATAAAGCAGGCCACAATACATTTCTTGAGCAAGTCAAAAAATTATTCTTGCGAATACATTCTGTCATCCGATTGACGAAGCCAGGACGAACTGCATCCGGTAACAAGCTTTCTGTTGTATTAACAATATTCAACTGCCGATCGTTAAGCAAATCTGCTAATCGCAACGTACTAGCAAGCTTGACATGGTGATCATCTCGTACATTTGGCGATGACAGCTGGATTGACCTGAGAATGTTGAGTATCACCGACTCGGGATGTTCTGTAAATATCGGCACAAATCGAGTACCGGTCACGCTTATCACAGGACTATTACTTTGCGGAAATTTCGTTCTAGAAATAATCTTCACGTTAGAATTCGCTTCGTTTTGCAATTTATCCCATTCCTGCTGGCTTTTTATATTCGAATGCAAAGCGTTCTTGTCCTTTAACGACGTTTGATCTTCTTGTTGCGGAGGTTGTTGCAAATCAGGAAATTCTGGTAAGTTAGAAACATAAAGAGCAACTGCAGGCCAAATTACGTTCTTTGTGCAGTTGATAAATTCATTGTTCTGAAGACAAGATAAAACTTGTGCAACGAGAGCAGCCCGTGCTGTAGGTGGTACAAGACTTTCCGCTAACTTTATTATGTTGATCTGTTTCTCGGTAATGCTCGTTAAAATTATTATATTTCCGCTAATGATCACAGGCGTATTTTCCAACGTTGACATTTTCAAAGATTTACGTACTCCCGTTAAAATTTCCGTGACTTTGTTCTCTAATTCGCTGGATGCTTTAGAAGATGCTTCCTTTTGACGTAACAAGATTGTGGAAAGACGACTAGGCGATCCTTCTGGAGTAGTATTACCCGATTCCGGTGATTGCTCAGTGGTTGTATCTCCTCCGCTACCAATTCCTGGTAATGATGGTATAAATGAGGAAATATTAAATACATTTGGCAGCTGAAATTGCGACAGCTGAAATTCCGGCAGAAAACCGATAACACTGGGCAACTGCCAGTTATCGGTTATCCAACCGGAAATGTCTGGTAGACTGGGATATAACTGTTTGATCGTTGGCCACGTAGAATATTTGATACATGTTACATAATTTAATTCCTGAATACATTTCACGGTTTTTTGAACAAATTCTGGTCGATAAGGAATAGGAAGAAGCTGTTCGGCCATCTGAATCGATAATAATTGTTCTGGAGAAAGTAGAGCAACGTAATCAGCGTTATGAACAATAGAAGGAGGCGGTGCCTTTGCGTGTTCCTTCAGGGTATTTTGAAGAATATTGATAATTACCGCTTCCGGTTTTCGCATTCTCGTAGCGTCGGCCTCTATGACTTCTGGAAGCTCACCTGAGGTTTCCGCGAAACTTGGAAACGGAACGATGGGATATTGCGGGTACAATGCTATAGACGGATACCAACTCTGATAATCCGGGAAAGCCGGTAGAGCTGGATAATATTGCTTTACCATCGGCCAAGCGAAATACTTGACGCAGCTAAAATACTCGAATCTGCGCACGCATGAGAACATCCGGTCGGAGTACTCGCGGCGTATTTCACCAGGTAGAAGTTTCTCGGCCATCTGAAGAATCTGAAGCTGACCGATAGTGAGAAGTCTTCTCAGAGTTTCATTTTTCGGATCGATAAAAGTCGGTGCTAGATCATAGGTGGCTATCGATTCCAAGGCTCCGCTCAAAATACTGAAGACGACAGACTCCGGTGTTAACAATCTCGGATGATGGACGCTGCTTTCCGATCTCGCAGACTTTGTTCTGTTACCCTGAAACAAATCGATCAAGTTTATCTCAATCGGTAAATTGTTCAGAGACTGGCTGACTGATTCCGGAAGATTATCGAGTACGATAGGCCAGACAAAGATGCGCAAACAATTAAAAACACTAAGATTGCGAATGCACTCTGCCACGTTCGCCACGAAGGACTGTCGCTGCTTTGTTTCTATCAACTGCTCGGCACATTTTATTATTTCTAATTGATTCTTGCTTAGCTCAGTTGCGTTCAAATTGGCAAGATACGTTTCATTCGATGCTGATTTCTGCGATAGTGCGATATTTTCCAAAGTTGCCAACAATTGGTTTTCCGTGAATTTCGGAATATCAGAAAACACCTCAGTTGTTTGAGCCCTTAAATATTGAAGAAACGTTCTATTCTTGATTTGTTCCTGAAACAACGTTGCTTGAACCTTCCATTTTTCAAGACGGTTAGGCACCTCTATTGATTGATCAATATTCTCACTTTGACTCGATTTATCTTTCACTTCACTGCTACGTTGATTGCGAATCTCTTCGTCTTTTTCAACGATATCAATCTCGATTAATTTTTCCGAAAGAAGACTTTCTTGATCAACTTTTTCCGATTGTGTCGCATTATTATCAACAGATTCTAGAGCGTCGTCTCGTATGGATATCAATTTCTTTATCTGACCGTTCACGATCGATTCTTGCTCTTTACCAGGCGAATTGCCTTCTTCAGCATTCAAGTAAACAGTTGAACTCTTATACTTGGACTTAGCCAAACCACTAGCTAAGTGTCTATCCTCTCTGTTTGGATCGAGATTTTGGACACTGATATTCTCATTATTTGGAGTCTCATCGGCGATATGCTTCTCTTGGCTCCTTTTACTTTCGTTCGCATGGACAAGTTTCAAGCTTCGCAGGTCATTATGTATTTCCTCGTTTGCGCCATCAACGTTCTCGATTTGTGCTGCATTTAAATTATATTTCGCCGAATTTTCGATTCGTCCCGTCTCTTTTTTATTTAAATCTACTTTCTCTGTCTGTTCCAAACTCGCGACGTTTTCCAAATTCTTTCGAAGGTCGGGGGAAATCTCTGCATACTTTTTTCCTTCTTCATCGCTAGACTTTACGTTCTTCTCCGCGTGCGATTGCTCGACATTGACTAGTTGCTTCTCACGTTCAATAGCGTCTCTTTGTGAATTCGGGACATTCGCGATGATATCAAAAATCTTTCGTTGACTCGGTTCCTCAATATCATCGGACTCGATCTGGGCATCAAATCGTCGAATACCTTCGTCCTTTTGCACATTCTCCTCCTTATCCTGCAACACAAACTTACCAGGAAGACTCACATCATTCCTCCGCCGTTTTTTCGCCACGCTACCTTCATCACCAACGGCTTCGACTTGAATCTTGTCAGGATCCTCGATGAATATCTCTACCGCTGGATTTTTCCTTTCTTCCTCACTAACATTCTCGTCGTTAACGTATTCTTCTGTTTTTATCAAGGTCTTTCTTTGCGCTTGATTCGCGTTCTCCACGCCGTCAGACTCGGGGTCACTCACCTCCACGAAAGGCTCCGAAATTTGACCGTGCACTTGATCCGCAACGATGTCGCTGTCATCATGAAGCACACTTCGCGCTTGTACGTCGTGAAGGATGCAAAGCAGAAGAAGAAGGTAGATAGTATAAGGCACGAGACGATGGATGCTCGTGGATGACCGTGGGCGTCGAGAGTTGAGTGCTCTCATGGTCGCGGCCGAGAGGCGAATGTCTCGGCCACTTCTGAGCCGGTCCATGGTCAGCCATACCACACGTATGGTGATACACATACCATCTCCTAAAGCACGGCACTGAGATCACCGGTTAACTCACAGACGAAGAAGTGAATCTGTAGATGAATAACAACCTGGCATTTCCATTTTTGCGATGCCCCTCTACGTGCCTCTTCGGGGTTGCGGAGTAACGAGCTTCGCGCAGCGGACGAGTTCGCTGTCGCCGACCGGTTGTGTTTCCTGCGCGGAAATGGCAATGGAATGCATCGATCGCTCGATTTATTCAAACACGCGATTTCCGCAAGTAATATGCGCAAATGAATGTGTATTTATGATATGAATTATCTATCCTCATTAATCTGAGAAAGTTTATTTCAGATCGTTCGAGAGACAATTAAGTAGATTTAATAAATTTAATACAAATGTACATATAATAGGAAGAATGATATTTATAAGAGAATGAGAAATGCGCATCGTATATATAGTTAGCTATCCAGCATTTTTGTATGTGAAGATCGACTTATATACGCATCAACAAACATACAAATTTAGAATAAAAATTCAAATACAATATTTTTGCTGGTATTTGAATAAATCTCGTATTTTGTTTTATAATAATTAAAATAAAAAATGATATTAATTATAAATTATTATTTATTATTAATAGAAAATTAGGAAAGATAAAAAGTATTGTTTTGGATGTTTACTTTGTAATATACTTTTAATATTCCCTATATTGATAAATAAAAAATCTTGTCTATATTTTTCAAAATAGGATGTGAAGCTATAATTTGCATGCAAAAAATCAAATTAATTGATGATGTGCGAATATCTAACATAACTCTTTAAATAGATAAGAGAAAATCGAAGACGACAAGATGAATCTGTAAATTTGGGTGGTATCACATAAATAAACCAAGTTTCAGATTTATATTTAATATAGTTTCATTCGCCAGTTTCCAATGCTCACTTTGTAAAGGGTTGAATTTTTAGTCCTTGAAGAAATCGAGTCTGGAAGGAATGGCCAGAAAGAAGGGGCATCCTAGTAGAGGTGGCTGGAGAGCGGAGAGCAATGCATTTTTATAGGAAACTTTATTTTCCAAGATGGTCGGCGCGATGCTCCCTACTTTTTCCCTCTCTTCGTTCCTTCCAAGTACTGGATTCACTATACAAAGACGATGCAATAAACCTGTATTGCATTTCTTAACTTTACCGTCTGCTTGCTTACGGTGCGTCCACAACGTTCAAGGCGATTTTATTACTCCAACCATGATTGTTTTGCATAATTAATTCTATTTTATTAATAATTTTATGTCATGACATCTCTATTTTTGTTTTTAATTTCCAAAATTTATATTCTGTGTTACAAAGAAGACATTGCAATTTCTTTAGTAGTAATTTTGACTTTTTTCCCTTTTACATATTATTTTTACTTACAAATAAGATATGTGGAAGTAACGTAACTAGTTGAAAGTAAAAAAAATTCTATTACTTGATAATATTAAATATATTGAGGTAATCTGTGACGTCAATCATTGACCATGACCATGACCATGACCATTCTTTGAGCCACTTAACGTCAGACCGTTAATAAATTTTATCAAGCACAACGCTCTTCATATTATCTCGTTATGAGGTCATGTCAATAAGCAATTTTTAAATTCAAAATCATCCCTGTCATTCTCATGCATTATTAAGGTAAACCACTTATTTCTACAGTTACAGTAACAATAAATTCTACAGTTACAATAATATAGCACATATGAATAAATGTTAATAACGCGCTTATAGAACCTTGCAATATTTGAGAGAATAAAAATACTTAAATAAAGTTAAAAAAATGTAATTAAAAATAATATTAAAAAATATATCTGCTCATTGTTTGCGATAATGGATTGTAAAATATTTTTACAATAATGTATGTGAAAAAAGTTACAAAAATTTAGCGAATTTCATCGGAAAATTGTGAAGCGATGCATTGCTTCTAAAAACATGCTCTTGGCATTCCTACATACTCTTGTAATTATTCCTTTTCTAGGTGATAGTCGCACATGATCGGTCATTGCACGATAACCGTGACACTGATGAAATGAAAGTCTGAAGAAATAAAAGAGAACAAATTATTCCCAAAATTTCTTCTTCTTCAAGATATAATATTGCTCAGATAAAAATAATATATTAAAGAAATGAGAATTAATAATTCTAAGTAATATTTTACATCAACAACAGATCGGCGAGAATTATTGTAAAACGTAGTTTTATTATAAAAAAATAGATGATATTAAGAGAATGCCTCCTGACATTACATTGCAGGTCGACGATTTTTAAGTTCTCCAATCACTCAAAATCGGCACCGAAGAAGTCGAAAGAGCTGCGCAGAAAGTTAATGCGCAGCGCGAGCGGGCGATTCTCTTTCGAGTTCAAACAGCTCGGTGATTGTTGGAGGGATTCACACTGTGAGGCGTACGGGTCCGAATAACATTTCGTGTAGTCCGGCACGAGAGATTCAAGAGGAGACAGAGCGAAAAAGATCGGTCAAAAGAAAAAAGATCATCAGTGTCGATGAGTCCGGATGGTGGAAAACCGGTCTGAGAATGAAGGCGATTGGCCGGATCCTGGCGTGCGTGCTATTGGTACTTATAATAACGAAAAATGTAATTGCAACGAGTGCCGCGAATATTAAATTTTCAACGGGACAGAATAACAAAATCGTGCGATTCAATATTACGAGACTAAAATTAGTTTCGAAGCCATCGCTGCTGAATCCTGAACATTCTCGAGATATACTGGATAGCGTATTCAAAAATAAAGATAAAGGTAGGATATAATTTTATTTATATCCATTATAATAAGACAATATATTATGTGTAAATTAGAAATATTAGTCTGTGAGTTAAAAAAATTATAATTATATGTAATTTTATTATTAGTTTCTTTTATATATAATTTTATATGTAATTTATATTCTTTTATATGTAATTTATATGTAATTATATGTAATTTTATTATTAGTTTCTTTTTATTAAAATCATTTTTGTGCAAAATATATAATTATTTAGTACAGTATTTACTTTTTTTAGAATGTATTAATGTATATTATATATACTGTTTAAATTATATATATATATATATATATATATATATATATATATTGTAAATAATTTTTAATTATCAATTATTCTTATTGCTATCGCAGCTATCGTGTAAAATATATTATATCTCATTATTAATTATTAATATTTTTATTACAGATATTGGGAGATTTGGAGAAGCTCGTACTTTTGGGATCAGAAGATTGCAGTTGATGTTGATGCCAATGATATATAAAATGGGAGTAATGATGACAATGTTGATGGTATTGACAGCGATCTCTGTAAAGGGACTTTTCGTCGGTAAGCATCGTTACTTTCGTGCGCAGTGAAAAGTGTCAGCCACAGAAATGTATAACGGTATCCGTGATATCTTGTGGATAGCGTAGCCTGCATACATGATTAGGTGATATTGCTGGCCCATTTTTTCCTATGAGTTCAGTATCTGAATAAGCATTAGATTTGCCAAATAACTCTGCTCCTTCCGTTAGTTCGTACAATTAATGATAAATTGTTTCAATTAAGAATATATCTTTTTACGTTGCTCATTTCTTATTACAAATAATAAAATATTAGATTTTATTATCATGAATTACAAGACTGTATCATAATCTTGGAATTTTTTATTTTAATTTTTATTTTTTATAACAATTTATTTTACGTGATATTTAAAAAAAATTTATTCTTATCAAATAATTTTAATTTTCATGAGAATATTTCACTTTATAAGAAAAATTTAATAGCTTATTTTAATATGTATCATATTTTTTTTACAGGCATTATACTGCTGATACTTAAACTCAGTACTTTTCTAGCGAAATTTCATTCCGGTTGGCACACATCATCGCAACCAATTCACCTACACATTCATAATAGTCCTCCATACGTTCACCCACAAATGTATCATAACTGGATACCGGCAAGTGATTCCGAGAGTCATTATTATTAAAAAGGATAAATCATATAAAATTTTTTTTTCCGTTATCAAGTCTTTATATTAACGAATCCGTTATCAAGTCTTTATATTAACGAATCAGAACAAAAAGAATATTTTAAAATCAATAGTACTCAATAGAATCTACATTATTTGTATAATTTATTCTCGTTTTTTTTATTTATTAACTTTTATTCGAATAATTTTATTAATACCTGATAAATTTATGAATTAATATTTATCCTAGCCATATTCTTCGTTATCCAAAATATTTTTTGCAAATATTTATTTGTACATATTTCGTCTGAGAAATAAGTACGTGGATATACATTAATTTAAATCTTAGATTTTATGCTATAACGACGGCTCTTTTGTGTGTTTTATTTGTGTGTAAATGTAAGCTACACTTTTATGAATATACCAAAGGAATCTCATAATTTACTAATATAAGATCGCCGAAGAAAATAATTAATCATTATAGATTTCTTTTCCTAAAGGAAATACAAATAACATTTTTATAACACGATAAATATTTGATTTTTAATAATTTATTAATAATTTATAATACAATATAATATTTTTGCACACATAGATTTGAAATATGCCACATAATAAATCTTCAAAATACGTAAATATCCTATGCACTTTGCATGACGAATTAAAAAATGTATATATCAAACAGTAATTTAATACAGCAAATATTATAATTTGGTTTGTAAACAATCGTGAAAAATATGTATAATTTTAAATCTCAAATTTCTTACTACATATATGTATACCAAAACCAAAAATATTTATATATTTAGGAATTAAAACCGCATACCTCACATGTTACCAGTAAAAATATTTTTACCAGAAACCAAGCTGTTACACAACACACGTTGACTTCCTATATTCGAGATGCAATCACCATATTTTGAATTTTAACACTTCGTGACTGAAGAGATGCAAGTAAGCATCGAAACGTCTCACTTTTAGTCGCTCTCTTAATAAATGCGATTTATCGACATTTTTCTACTTTTTTGTTTTTTTAACTGACCTATCATCCGCAGTTTAGCTCGTATTAGGCTGATTATTGTATCTATGGTTTTTTAATTCTTATTAACGAGCTATATCATTAAAGAATTGTAATTTATATCAGTAAAAATATATTTATTGGTCACATTGTAATAATATGTTCTCGAATATATTGTAATATATTTATTATAAATTATATATATTTATTTATTGTGGAAACAAAGAAAATTATTATTATACCATATATGATAAAAAATTATATATCTTAAGGAAATATATCTTAAAATATTATAATATATAATATATATAATATTTTAAGATATATTTTTTAAGATCAATAAAAGACTAATGGAAAATTTTATAATTCGTAAATACAATAGGAAGATCTTAAAAATTATATAAAACATACGATCTTTAATAAAGTCTTACCCAAAGATTATTAAAAACGATATGTTTACCAGCGAGCGGTTACTGTAGCGAATCACTAAGTATGATATATCCACATTTCTTCTGATAAATAGCGTTCTCTAGTAAAGGGGACCCAGTTTTCCCAGCTTAGTGGGGTACCTGAATAAAAAAAGTAAAATATCTCTGCTGCGCTTCGCGTAGCATAGTGCAGTCTGCGTGGCAAGCGAATACGAGAACAACGCATTTTATATTTGTGCGAATCAAAGAAAAGATCGTTTAAATATTTTGTGAAAATCGTCAAAAAGTTTTTCGATATATATGATTTCGCATATTAGTGAAATGTTTGTGTAATTAATATAAGCGAATCTCGTAAAAACAATAGCCTCACTTTAATAATGTTATAGTAAGTTAATAATAATATAATACACACACAAATGTATGATAATTGTGGAAGTAATGTGAGTGAGAATCGTCTATCATATCTAAGCTTTGTTGTAATAAGATAACATATATTTCATATAAAGTAAGTTGTAAAATTTTTATTATAGAATAATAATAAAGCTAAATTATATAAAATTGCATTATATTTCTTATAAATAATTATTTAAGAAAACATAGAATTGTTATTTTCTATAAAAACTTGCAGATATTAATATTTTTAAATTTAATTAGGAACAAATTATCTTTTCTGAATATTATGTAATATTCATTATTTCAGTCAACATAAATCCATTCTAAACTCGAAAACATGGTTGGGACAAAATTATTCATTTACAATATTATTATTTGGCTGGTAACATCACCAAAACTGTTAATTCAGGCTGAAGAGAAGCTAAATAACACACAAATAGGTTTTAATAAAACGCAAAGTTTAAAAATCCTCCCGGGAATCAAATTTTTGTTGACGGATGATAAAATCATCATCCATGTGAAAATTCAAGACTTATTACAAGGTATTTGCTCTATTTTTTTCTTGTCATCTGAAAAATACCTAGAGTATATTTTTCTTTTTTAGGGACGGAAATACAGAGTTCAAGAAGCAAGAAAAATTCTTTAAAGAAATTTGGATACATGATGATGATGGCGCCGTTTGTTATGCAGGTTTCTTACTTTATCTTTTAATATTCTCTGTTAGAAAAAAAATAAAATCTGTGATGATATAATCTAAAACTTTTTTTTCAGATATTTTCCCTACCGGGTGCCATAGCATCTGTCAAAATGTCACTCTTAAAGACTATTATGGTGGCGCAATTAGCAATCGCAATAATGATTTACAATTTGATCAGAAATGCGCAAAATTCGGAGGTAGTTGTGATTCACAAAAAAAAGCATCCAGCGCATTATCATCATAATTACAATTATCAAAAAGATGACGAAGATGAATGGTTTGGTAGATGAAGTATATAAATGAATGTACAATAATATAAGAACAGAATGCATATTTTCATCACGTAAGACTGATCAATTGTGGCTTTTGAATGTTTCCGAATATATTAAAATATATAAAAATTAAATATTTAATATATTCAAATATATAAAAGACATCTGTGATATAGAGAGCAACTCGTCTAGCAACAAAGAAAAACTAAAATTAATTAAATTATTATATTAAACTGGAACCCCCTTTCAAAAATAGACCGTACGGGACTCTGGTATACTCCAATGGGTTACCCTCACTACTGTTAAATTCAGGGCCGTAGAAGAATCATTTTACGGAAGAGTTCCTCGCGAGATTTGCATGAATATGTCCTTTCTAAATGGTTAGGAGTGATATTGCACCCACAGTTTAATGCATTGCTACGTGAGTGAGTCGTTTCTCCTACTCACATCCCGGAATGAATAGTGGAAGGGATGTAATATACTTTTAAGAGGTATATTTTTGAGAGGTTTCAGTGTATCCACTTATACATGCGTTTATATATAAATTATTTATTATATATTGATATATATTTTATTATTTATTCGTTTTCAAAATATAATTTGAAATATAATTTGAAAAAAATATATAATAATCTCTCGCTGTTTGCATGTTCATCATTTTACCTCCTATTAATGTCGGTTGGTCGGAAGGTAAGTACGATATCAAAGTGCCGGCTGACCTACTTTGAGCCTCACATAACGGCATTTTGGTCCAGATTCTTGCAGATATACAGACGCGTACCCATTCAAGTTTTCTCATTTCTCTTTCGGTAAATTCGACATCGAAATCGAAATTAAAATTCCACCGCGCTTCCCATCAAACATGTCGTAAAAACTTTCTTAAAGACAAACAGAACTCTGACGCGCGAACAAGAGGAATAAACAAACGATTAAACACGTTAATTATAGCGTGTATTAAAAGTTCCGTCAACGGTGAATTGAATCTTCGAAACTTCGATATTCGCGAAGCGTATACGTGCCAGAAACCCACCTTCAGCGAACAATGCTTTTAGTATGCTGTGATGATCGTCGTTCGTAAATCGACACCTTGTCATACAAATCAGATCGGTATGTCGTTTTCTAGAGTATATAGTGCACGATGCACAAGGCATACCTATGCGACAACTGAGAATTAAGCGTTTGCTCATCACGGAATAGTCAGATCGGGTAAACATCGAGTTACAATACTACGTGATGGTATTTGGATCCATTGATTTTCCATCGATTCGATATTCCACGATCGAATGTCTCATTTTTTTCACTTTGTTCTAGATTGTCGCGAAAAAGTCGAACAACAGGCGAATATATTTTTATAGATTAAATATCTCGAACAACATTTCACTTAATACAAGTTTTAAATGTTTGTATTAAAATCTCTCTTTTTCTCTTAATATTCATCAAATGTAAATTAGATTTAATTACATTTTAATGAGAACAATAATTTCTTTTCGCTTCTTCGCATAAACACATTATCAATTTGTGAGATATTTGATATGTCTTTTAATATGTCTAATTTGTGAGATATTTGATATGCCTTTTAATATGTCTAATTGTATTATCAATTTTGATTACGACATCGAAACTTTATTTCCGAAATTGTAATTCATCATGATTAAAAGGATATAACGGTCACTTTCGATAATGGTGCGATTTCTAATCTTAGTCACACATATACATATATATCTCGTGTGTCATATATTCAGGAACAAATTTTTGAAACACAATTTCTGAATTAATTCGACTATTAACATTGATGTATATCAAACGAGAGAAAGATTCTTTCCAATAATAAAAATCTCATATATTCATATATATATATATATATATATATATATATATATATATTTCATATAATAATAAAAATATTATCATCTACTTATTTATATATGTATGTCAGATGATTTCATTCAATATTTATTTCAATCAGAGCCAATTATTTATAACGAGATTTTATGTATATATTATCCATGCTGCACACAGCATTAAAAATTCCAAGACTCTGACATTATGTGGCAACATGTCGCATTAGTTGACCTATACGTATTTGAACGTGCATTAATTTAATTTAATCTTGCATTTAATCTCGTTTATCCGCACAACATTCCTACAAGTATAGTGTTCATTCTTTAATAAGATATGTCTATTGATTTGTCTATTAATAAGATATGTCTGACAACGTTAAATGTAAAAAAATAAAACGAAAGGTCATTTAATAAATACGAGCTTATCGCCATATAATTATCTTTTCACGCTATGCTTGTTAATATCTATTATAAAAAAAAACATTAGTTAATCTCTATACATCTGCAGCAATAATAATTTTAATTAATTCCATACGATAAATTAATTTGATTGCAGTAATTAATAAAATTTAAATAAAAATATTATATATTTGAAAATATTCAATCTTACACTAATAAATATTAATATATATTATCATCAATTTATTATATCTAGATTCTACAATTTAAAGCAAAAATTTTGATATTAATAGAAAAAAAAATATTGCGTTTTAAAAATAATGAAAAATAATGAAATAGTACGTCTAACAATTTCTAAGAGGATACGAAGTGTTATGTCTAATAACTTGTACAAAGAAGATTGATAAATATTAACAGTTTTTTTCTTGCATATTTGTGTCATTCATAATTTTCTATGTGTTTGGAATGTCATAATCCAATATTGCATATGAACAATAATATATAAACAATAATAAAGTTTTATAATCCAGAATTGCCATTCGCACTGACAATACAATTTGCGATTTACGACCGTTAATGATCTTCATGTAATCATTTCTCAGCCAGATAGTGAATCAGAAAGCATTTGCTTGAGAGAAACGTTAAAGGCCTTCTGATTTTTCTATCTTGTCGATTCCTTTTCTCGTTACCTCTTCTCTTACGATGCGCGTCATCGAATCGTTTCATAGATCCATGGAAAAGATGAGAATCTTTTTCTCGTTTGTTGCATCACCAATGCATGCTCGAAGGATTCGCTCGACCATCATTCAGTCGCGCGAATTCGAAGCAGCAGGAATCTCCGCGGGATGTCGTCCGTCGTGGTAAGGATCTAAGGCTGGAGAAGATTGGAAAATACATACATTTTCACGCCTAAAGCGATTTTTATTGCAGAAGAAACGATGCATCCTTCTGTGCTTGCTGTGTTATATGCTCGCGCAATATGGGATTCTTGCGGATGATAACAATCCTTATCAATTCTCCTTCAATATTGTTGATTTTCAGCATAGATATGAAGAGAAAGGTATATCAATCAAAAAGAAGTATTAGAAAACAAAATTTTTATCATGCAAAACAAATTTATATTAAGCGAATCTTCTCGAATAACTAAATTAAGTGTGACATTTCTGCTTAATTTTCATCGAGATGCTGAGGGGCTTATTAACGGGGAGTATGGTTTCATTACGGCCGATGGTGTTTATCATGAGACTGGATATGCCACGGATAAAAATGGCGATTTTATTATCACCAAACAGAGACACCGGAAAATAACGAGTTGTGAGTTTTAAAATGATAAACCGAAAGTTTTCACGTGACTCTCATCCTCAATTTTTGAACATCTTTGTCTATTCTTAATAAGTGAAGGATGCACAAGAAATATTCAAGGATAGACCAGAAGCGGCAAAGAAATTGGTGGAAGCTGTGATGAAGGCTTGTGGAGGATGTAAGATTCCAATTGTGGATGAACAACCAAAACCTGCAAAGACAATCACAGAAACGCCGTTGCAAAAAAAAATGGAGCCGATATTGAAACAGATGATAAAAATATTGTCGGAAAACGTAAAACATGGTAAGATAAAAAGTAAAACAAGACTATTAAAATTGAATAAAAATAAAAAAAACTTAATTGTACATTTCCCAAAAACATTTCAGAAAGGAAGCAACCAGCGGAAGACATTGTGAAAAGCATGATACGAGCTGCGAAGTTATTGCCTGAAGAGAACAATCCGAATAAAATCATGAGTGATCGAGTGCTGGAAAATATGGCAAATGATTTGTATTATCGATTCAACTATACAATAACGACGCATGGTCATCACGAGGATGGTTATCGAAACGGAAGAAAAGACGGCAACTATCAGTCGCGAAATGAAAACGGTGTCGACACGCAGGTGAAGTATCTGTCGAATGAATTCGGGCATCAGCCTAATATCACGTTCGTCACGCGGACGAATACAACCGAACAAAACCATGCTTTCAAAGGATACTTGTTTCGTTGGTACTGGCCGTAAATTTGATTTTATATAATGTGAATTTTTCTAACTTTATTTTAAATTTTTTACAAAAACTGTACTAACATTTATTTAAATACATAATATAAAATACATAATCAAGCTATGTTTAAGAATTCGTAAAATTTTAGATTTTATAAATGTGACCATTCAGAGATAAAAAAATAATAAAATATACAATTAATAATTACAATAAAAATAATTCATATTATAAAATATAAATTGCACATATAAATTAATAATTTATCATTTTTTTATTATCTCCTGGATATTTTTCCTGGCTCTTTATAATATTAACTTACATCTGTGCAAAAACTTTTGACTCAAATTAAGTTTTGTTATAAATTCAAAATAAATTAAGCTATGATAAAATAATTTGTTAAATTCAAGTTTTCATTTCCTTAAAATTCTCGATACGTTTCGTGGAACAAATTGTATATGAGTGGATTCTTTCTTTACTTCCTAGCAAGAATTCAAACAGGCACAAAAATCATAAAAATGTATCTAGACCGGATAAAAAAGCGGTAGGACTAAAAATATATTTGCAATTAAAAATATTTTATCAAATTTATACATATTTTTAAATTGCTCGCAAAGAAAAATCATCATGTTCACGAAGCATGTATCTTTCTCTCTTTAGCCATATAAAGTAATAATAAATATATATCATTTATACAGAAAGAACGAATATGCTACTTGCATCGACCAGATGTTTCAGAGATTATTATTATAATAGAATGACTTGAAATTCATCTTCGCGTGATTGAATTTAGTTATAGCGATTTAGCTGTCACGTAAATAACGGTTACGATAGTAAAATTTACACTGTGCACTGGCATTTCTGTTGCATCAAATTTATTCTTAGTTTATAGTTTACATGATTATCCTCTTTTTCTCGAATTGCCCAAGTATTGATTACATTTCTGGAAAAAAAAGTTTTAAACGAACGTATAATAAATGTTTGAGTGATAGGACTTTTACATATTACACGTCAATTTCGTCTTATTATATGACAGGTTTCATATACACTCTCACGTACATACGATTTATCATAAGCTATGATCGCACATCGCAATGCCTATTACGTCTTGTAATTGAGGATTAAGGCGACGCGAGCAAAATACGTAAAGGGCGAATATAATCGTGCAGTGAAAGGTAAGACAAAAATTCTCAAAAGATTGATACATAATTCACGAAACGGTTGACTACATGTTCCACGGTTCGTGTTCGCGGTTAATTAACGGCACAAAAGTCATTGAGAAACATTGTGACAGTCGAGCTGTCAGACGCGTGCGCGTGACTACGAAGTTTTGAAGAGCGGTACGCCATTCTTATGATAATCGAATTAACGTTGAATAATATTTCACTCTTTCTAATAAGAGGTTGAAGTAAATTTAAAATAACAACGTACATCTCGACATAATCGAATGATAAATCAAGCGGATTAAACCCGATTAAAAATATAATCGAAGTATAGTGAATATATTTACAGAAACGTTCAAAAATATATTGAATGCATGCAATCTGCGATTCTTTTTTCGAAAGTAACGTTTCACTGCGATTTGATATCTTTTAAAGCGATAAAAACAGCCAGAATTGGGTTGTATTAGCATACGCCGCTGTCTAGAATTTCTGTCTTCGATCCACGTTCAGTTTGTCGAACACATGTGCCAAGTCACTTGTAAACTATTTTAAAATTGCCATTAGAATTAATTAGAGATGCAACCAATTATTCAATCTTTAAGAAAATTGTTGTTTTAAAAAGTAAAAAATATTTCATAAATTTCCTAAGATACCTATTTGTCAATGATGATTAAATAATAATAATATTAAAAGAAACGCGTATAGATTTATTTTGATTATTCTCGTCTTCATATTAAAGATTAATAAAATAGAAAGAATATTCAAAGATAGAAATTAAAAAAATATAAATATTGAGAGAGAAGATAAGAGAAATGTAGAAGTGTCTGAAATAGTGTCGTGAAATCTAGTAAAATAATTATATAGAGAAATATTGAGAATGAAAGTTGCCGAGACTTTATTGCTGCTGTATAAATCATTTACAAAGCCGTGCCGCATTAGCCGACATTTATAGCGGCTATATCCGATCCGACTCGAATTCCTTTTCATTCACATCGCGGACCCACGATAAGACCCAGAGTCCCTCCAGGATGATGACTTACATTTCGTCGTGACGTCCACAAAAGTCCACCATGGTGGAGGGGTTTTGCCCGCTAGACTTGCGCGAAACCAAACCCACTATTGGCGGAAGTTGGGATGGAAGGGACACCAGTCTCATATATGTTCGACCACGCACGCTCCATAACCACTTTGAGACTGTAATACACGACCCAAGGCCACGATCAGCGGTCAAGATCGAAAAAAAACGGAGCACGAGAAGGTGACAGTCAGGAATTTTCGTGGTGATCCTCAGTGCGCCTCGATCTTGGTGAAAATCGAACAAATTCGGTGGAAAAAAAAGCCATGAGAATAATCGCGTCAATTGTTTTGATCCTCGGACTTGCTCTGTATGTTCACTGCGAAACGACGGAAGAAAGCAACCAAGAGGAGGATGGCGTCAGCATTCTTGATTGTATGTTCGTAAACAACGCCGGAAGTTGCCTAAGGTCGAGACTGGCTCGAAACCTGGACCAAATCGAGTTGGAAGTTACCGGAAAAAAAAGCGAACCGCCGATGAGCGCGGTGGTTGCACAGGCTGGCAATATCATCGCGGAGGTCATTGATGATCTGCAGGAGACTGGCACCGAAGGAATTATCGAAGAGGACGATGGTGGTCAAGACGATAACGTGGGTAAGAATCAGAAATCGAACAACAAAATATTAATAATAAATTAAATAATTTTATTTATTTATAATTTTTTTATATTTTATCGACATATTAATTCGTTATCGTTTTTTCTTCCAATATATCGATTACATACATATATAATTCTCAATATCAAATTTTCTCATCTTTCTTATCATTATTCCAATAATATATTATACTTGATATATATGTTCAATATATGTACAATATCATTATATTAATTTATTATTTCGAATTTATATAATTATTATATTTATATAATTTCTTGTAAAATTTTTATATGAATATAAAACATTATAATCAATTCGCTGAATAATTAAGTTATCGTAAATCAAAATCGGCAATTTTGCGATTCAAATTTTTAATTAATGAGCACGGAAATGCAAAACGCGTATCACGCGTATGTTCGTCTTCTCTTGTACTTTCAGAGAAGCACCGTTGAACAAGGCTAGTTAGCTCTTGTTCGTCTCGTAGTTGCCTTCTTTATAGAAGATGTAACGACAGGAAGTCAGTTCATCTAGGAGTACTAAAAATTACTGTGACGATTTTCACTTCTTATGTATCTTATTTTCTTAGTTTCCCCAAATGCTATTGTAATCGACTTCCCATGAGTCTTTAAGTAAAACGAGAGAAAGCGGATGTGAGAATTGAAATAATTTTAACGTAAACTTCATCTATATGATAATTAGCTTTTTCTGCGATTTCTATTTACAGTAAAGCTTACTGCCACTATTAGTAAAATATTAATTGACATCATATAAAAATACTGTACAAACTCTAATACAGCAATAAATGTTGTTAATTAAAAGTATCGTAATTCAAGTAATAAATAACGTCGTGAACGCGGAATGAAAATGTCATGCAATGCCATCGCAAATGATTCCAATAAAAGGAGATGTGCTATCGATGATCGTAAATGGGATCTATAAATAAATAACATTCAATTGCGCATCGTATTTTAGATCACGCAAATAATAAAGCAAATCCTATGGCAAATCCTATATATTGATAACAGGAGTGAGTTTCGCGGGTTCGGAGACGTGGATATCGAATATAAATTATAAAGGTGAACGAACCATGTCCCGTGTATTTTGCATAACGTTAACGTCGGCTGGACGCGATCGCGTGGTAAACGTAAAAATTAGAACTAACGCTCCGAAGAGACAAGGTGAACCGCAAGTTAACGCGTGATCGGTCCCACAAAGTCTCCCCGTCTGGGTCAATAGTGAGATGTTTAAATGTTTTGCACGCGATTGTGTTCGCGTGCGCGTGTCGATATTGTAACGCAGTTTACTCTAATTTAATGCTATGCGACACTTAGGCAAATCGATGGTAACGGTACCGATTGCATTCGTTCACCTGTCTTAGTTATTTTTTCCAGCAAAAGTCAACAGACACAAATCTTACGAGAAGAAAAAATGTCGATCTGGAGGGGACTTTTATTTACCGAATAGCCGCGACGCCACGATTGTATTAAAATCGCTCTTTCTCTCGTCTCTTTATCTTTCTAAGATAATTATTTATTTTCCCAAAAAAATCTCAATTAGTCAAATAGACAATAACGGTACCGCAAACATTATCTTTGTTATCTTTTGGAGCGTACAAAAAATTGTACGGTACTTCTGAGCAAATTGTCGACGACAAATTGAGTAATTCGACGGGGACATTATGCTAATTCGCTGCGATTCATATCGATTTAATATTTTGTCAACGAGCGAAAATGGAACGGAGATCAATTATGACATTTCGCAGATTATCCTTTGATCGTTGCATATAAAAAAAGAGAAATATTTTTAACATTGTGAAAAATTTGGCTACGACAAAGCGATCTGCACGACTCTTTTCAAGAAAGTCATATCGGTTACGGACGATTGCATGACCCGAAAGTCAGACAAAATCTACTATAGGTTAAGGTGGGTATAGGTTTGTGGGTCAACCGACACGGAGACTACGTTCCCATATTCTTGCCAGATTGCGTCTTGTTGAGGTTTGGTCAAGGAATTAATATATAAGTCCATATATTACAAATTCAAAAATAAAATAATCATTATTGAAGATGCTAGAATATCACTTCTTAAAAAAATGTTACTCTTTATATTCACTTTTAATTTGATTTCAATTATTTGCTTCCATGTTCAAATTACTTTTTTCATGTGTAAATTTGTGTTGCAAAGGAATTGTATACTCTAACAGAGAATATATAATTTTCTAGAAGAGGCGCGTAAAAAGAAATATGGCAAAAAGAAGAAGAAGCATATACAGAAACTCATGGGATTGATGATGTTGATAAAAGCGAAGATTGGCCTGCTGCTACAACTCATCAGCACGCACTTCCAGCTCAAGTTTTTCGTAATTGCCGTCATCTCGCTGATATTAAATGCTGTTAGGTTCTGGATAGAGATCAAGAAGAACCAACCCTCTAAAGTTATCTATTACGAACACGCACAACATCAGCATCACTACGATCACGAAGATCACGATTGGGGAAGATCGTCGAATGAGACACCTCAAAATCTCGCTTATCGTGCTTACGTACCCACGAAATGACATCAAAATTGCATAAATCTGACCGCAGAGACAAGAGATTTTGCGCGAAAAAAATCAAACAAGAATAAAAAATAACGCAAATCTCATTGTAAAACAATTACAGTCAGTCTTTATTTTAGAACTAGCGAATTCTCAGTCTGAAAATATTTAAGATACAATGCGCGTCATGCAATATTTATTTTTTGTATTCTATACATTTATTTATTTATTTAATTTATTTATTTAATTTATTTCGAAACGAATTATCCGATCGTTTCGAGTTTATTTAATAACAAATGATAGCAGATTTGTAAATCTAAATTGTAATTATCAAAAATTATTACAAAAAGAATATTTCTTTCTTAATTGCCTTAAGTCATACCAAAGTTGCTTACGAGTACCTGTTCTATCTCGCTACACAGAGATTTTTTTTAGAATCAGCTAATTATAATTAAAAGAACATGCGCTATTATTCATATTATGACTTAGTGAACACTATTAAATATAAGTTTAACTTTCTGTATGTGAACACTTAGCGTAAGATAATAATATAAAATTATACAGCCTCTCACAAAAAATAATTTTTCGTTACATAAGAAAATAATAATTTATAGTAGCAACCAAATAATTTCTATAGAAGTGTGTATGTACTAAAATTTTTGATAATAAACTATACGAGTATATGATTTTTTTCTTTCCTTTTAAAATACAATTACAGATATTGTATTTACCAACGAAGGAAAATGAAAAATTATCGTTACTATAAAGAGAAACTTTTGGCGATTTCGATGCACGAATTGCACGACCTTCTTTAGACGCACTGGTGGACCATTTTGAAATCTTTGTATTCCTCATCATAGCATAGCGGGCAATGCGACTGGAATCTTTAAGGATGATACTTTCAGGGTGTTCACCTTGCTACTGATCGATTCAACGATAGGCAGACGAAATTTGTGCGGCGATTGCGGCCCATCGATGCATCATCCGATCACAGAAAAATAAAATTTTTGGAAAAAACTTTAAAAGTATCTTTGAATTTGAAGAGAAAAGTATCATATACAGGATATATAAAATTAAAAGTAAAAAATACGTATGTGTAAATTTATTAAAATTGTTAAAATATCATGGAAAAAAGAGAAGAAATTATATATACATATAAATAGATGAGAAAGAGAGAGACTTAGTGGCAAGCTTATTTATAACAAGTTAATACTATTGACAATTTGAATCTTGAGATCCGAGGCACTGTATATCATTTTTACCATTTTTATCACGTTTTATCATTTTCATATATATTTTTTTATGTATTGTGATTAATGAAAATATACAAGTAAAATAGCATGTTTTTTTTTATAAAAATCTTTTAACTATTGAAAAGCTATCGAATCCTGAGAAAGAACGTATCAAATATTATTCGTTATCTCTATTGTCAATTGCCAAAAGCAGATGCGATTTCGTAATCGGATATACATCACCGTGGAAACCATTAAGTATTCACATCCCGAAGAAATGCCACTTGCGATGCGACCTTAACAAAGATAAGGCCCGATTGGGACTGCCCTCGAATTTCGACGGCCGAATTTGCGCGACACATCTTTGAAGTCTCAATTGGAATAAAGCCAATAGCGGAATGAGATCAATGTGTTGAATTTCAGATAGAATAAATAACTACGATCTAAAGAAGAAATTCATGAGATTAAAGAATTACGAGAAAATTTGAAGCGTTTCGTTATCTTTTAACACACATTTATTCTCAACGCATATAATTTATCCGGCCTTCGAGCCGCACGTCTTTTTGAGATCCTCATAGATTAAATATACTTGATTCTTTTCAAAAATAAATCCTTTTCAGCAAAAGAACTTGTCTGACTACTTAGTGTTTAGATAAATTATCAGTTGTCGTTATTTGATGTCTCGCAAAGACAATTTTCATGAACAGAAACTATTTTCTTTGTTTGAGAAATTTTAAAAACACAAAAATGCAATAAGATATTATGCATGATAATATATTATAAAAGCATTTCCGTGCACAATTTAATTTCCATGCATAGTTGTTCAATTAATTTGGAAATAGATTGAAAATAAAATAATTTAAGAATCAATAAATTTTAAAAAATACTATTCTTTCGCATATTATATATAATTATGCAAAAAATTGCAAGCGATACAAGAAAGTATTCATTGTGAATATCTTCAGGAATAAAATAAATAAAAATTGCCAAATGAGTACATTAAGCCGTAAGCAGCATTTGCATCGGGCCTTCGATGTTGATGTGAACGTCTGATGATGGTCATTGGCAGACAAAACGTGATAAACTTACTGATTTCAATTTACCGAGAATCTACCATTCATACAATATTCAAGATCCTTACGCGCAGTTTCGCTATATAATACCCTTCTGCAGATCACATCATCAGTCTTCTCAAAATCTTCAAACAGAGCTCCAATAAAACGTCACAGTCGCCGAAGAACTAACCGCAGTAACCAAGAGACCATCGTCTCTCGAAGAAATACCATACGAAGACACGTACTTTATACCTCGTTAAAATTATGACGCGAGAGAAGTTCCTCGTCGTGCTGTTCCTTGGTTTTATTGCAATAGTCCTGAGCTTGCCTCAGCAATCGAAATCGAAGAGACCCATTCCAGTGTTCAAGGTTTTTAGACATCTATTTCTGCGCTATTTTATATCACAACTTTTCAAAATTTATAAATGCAATTTATAAAAATATCAAATTTGTTCAATTACATTTCTAGCAACCTAAAATTGGTGGTTTGCTGCTTCCCGATAACGCGACGCTCATTCGCGAGAACATCGTCGATACATTTTCCTGCCAGAATAGAATTTATGGATATTACGCTGATATGGAAAACGAATGTCAAGTGTTTCACGTATGCTTACCGCAAACTAGAGGCTCGATTAGATGGAGTTTTATTTGCCCTGCTGAGACAGTTTTTAATCAAGTAAATTAATATTTGCTTTTTATACATATATATAATTATTCTTTTATTTTCGAAACAATAGAGAAAGATAATGCTTCCCGATAACGCTGAAGAAAATGCTGATGTTAAACAATGGCTATTTATTTATTAACATGTTGTGTTCAAAAAAAGATCAATAATATTATAAAATCTCTCTTATTTTTCGATTTACAGGCGACATTTGTATGCACACAAACGGAAAGTTCGATACCATGCGAGGACTCGGAGAAGTATTATGTTTTGAACGAGGAGATCGGAAAGGAAATAGAAGAAGAAGAGGAAGCAGATCAGGAACTAGGAAAAGAAAATACCACAAAGATTTCTGAATTAGAAACGGTGTCGAAGAAATCATTTTCGAAAAATTCTAAATTATTAAATCGAGAGAGATTGTTCCGGCGTAATTAAAAAGAATACATCTTTTCTACCCTTATTTGTAAGGGACTGCTCTATAAAATACCGTGATTATGACTAGCCAACATCTCGATTTAAGAATAAAACAAATTTTAGCTTGCCCAATTGAGATTGACTAAATGCTCATTTAGTCTTTAAGATAATCGCTTATAGATTGCTTATCGTCTTTGTAAGAGTGCTCATAATAACAAATAGTAGGGCTAAAATTTAAATTATTGTTAATGTAAAATATAACATTACATGTATAAAATAAAATTTCTGTACAGTGCCAGTCAAATACGAATAGAATAAGTCGTATATATTACGTAATTGTGTGCAAACATATTAAACGCTTATATCTGTAATTATTAATTGAATAAAATAAAAGATGCGTAGAAAAAATAATAATTGTTTTTATTTTTATATTTGCAAAAACAATAAAAATAACGGTGAAGCACTTATATGATTATTGTCAAAAAGAGTTTTTTACAGTAACGCAAAAGAGTTTTTTTTATAGTAACGGAAAATATATTTTTAATTAAAAATTTTTAATTAATTGTTAATAATATATAAGTACAGACCAACAAATATAATTATTTAATATTGATCTAGAATACAAGGCCAATAATTATATAAGATTATACAAGAAATTGAACCAATGATTATACAAGAAAAAGCGTTACACGAATGTCCCAAGCCTAAAGTGCACAAGAATCGTGACGCGATAGCCTCGCAAACATAATAAAGAAAAAGAATAAGAAGAAAATTATTAATTAAAATGAAGCAATATATACATAGCGATAAAAAAGTGTCGTTAACAACATTACGCACTTGCAGCGATTGATATGTGTCGATATTGGTCTCTTGTGAACTTAATATAAAATAACTAAAATATATAAAAACGCACTAAATAATAGCAGAAAGTTTTCTGTTGCTATTATATATAGCTTTTGCACTAATATTAAAATGTAGTTTCGGAATATAGAACTTAAACTAGAAACACACACACGTAAAGCGACTAAAAAATAAATCCAAAATCATCGTCCGATTCGTCGACCATCATCATCAAATTTTCGTGAAATCGCACAAGTCGCGACGCTTGAAACATCATCCACAACTCCCGCGCATTCCATCGTTTTATATTCGATATCTTTGGATATCTAGCTATTATCTCAGACAGGCAAAGCCCATCTAGCTTTTCGCAATGCCGATAAAATAATAAAATAAGCAACAATTGTACACGAACACTCATATCCAGATAACAACACTCTAAATATCTCTCTGTTATCGGATTGGAATATCAAATCGTAATATGCATACAATTTAAACAATTGGGTACAATTTAAAACATTAAATAAACATTAAGTATAAATCCAAAATATCTACATCATTAATTCATATTTAAAAAGAATTATATGTTGTAAGACATGACTTTTTATAATGTAACAACTCATTTCTTTTCAATCAAGTTGAAATTTTAAATAGAATATGTGTTATGCGCGCGATATTAGTAAAAAATGTTGCACTTATATATATAATTATTTACTTAATATAATGATTTCGATTATATCAACAAATGTATATAAACTTATTTTAATTTTTCTCTATATTTGTATTAAAAATATATATAATTATTAAATATATGTTCTCTTCAATAATCTATTTCCATGCAAAAAAAAATATATATTAAATTTTCTGTTTTTTATGTACTTATATGTATATAATATATATATATATATATATATATATATATATATATATATCGAATTAACTTTTCATTGTAATGCATCAAAAGATAATGATGTTTGTTTGGAAATTTAATTTTTTACCCTGTATATTATTATTTTCAAAAAAATCTTTTTCGAATTATAAAATAATTACCTATAAAATAGTTATAAAATAATTATTCTACATCGAGTTAAAACTTTCCGAAGTAAATTTCCAATCAGATTTGGATCGAATTTTTTTTACTTCTTTACATAGATCGAAGATTTTTCAAAATTTTTTGATTAAATTAATACCTATTCATACCTATTTATACTTTAGTCTAAATCAACGATGGACTTTTCAAGCTACGCCTCGGAATCCATCGTAAGATCCGCTTCGATCTCTTCAGGGCTTCTCAAGTCGATTGCGAATCTCTTTTTGGCGGTGTTATTTCCGGTCATCTCGGAAAGTTTCTCCTGTGCCTTCACAGTTTTGGAGTAGATCTCGAAGGCCGTTGCGAGGGCATACGTTAATTGCCTTGCGTAGTATTTGGACTCGCAAACGAAACCATGACATTCAAACGGTGAGATCCTCCTGAAGTTCTCTGTCTCGCGAACGACTATCATAGAGAAGACCCTAGTATAAACGAGATCTTGTACTCCATAGGAGATCGTCTCGATAGGATACATTCTGGTATTGGCATCTTGCTTCCTCTTATCCATTGGTAGCAAGGCAACTCCTTCTTGAGAGACCACCAGCTTGATAAGAGGAAGCATTGTGTTGGTCGGCAAAGCCTTTGCAGCAGAAACCATATTATCGACGGGCCTTCTCGTATGCTTGATGCCCCAGAGGCCTCTTGCATCGTGGGATCCCAAATATTTCACCTGAAAACGGTCCACTTAAAGTCTCGGACATTCAACGAACTTTTCAAGGACCTTTAATTCTTGACGATGCGCCCTTTTAATACATTCTTTTAAACAAAATTTTAGCCTTCAAGAATTAAAACGTTAATCATAAAGACATTTTACGAAAGAAAATATTTGCAAATATTATAAACAATTAATTAATGAAGTTTAATAATTTTTGCGTAGAAAATTTTTCTCTTTCATGATTTTTCTATATTATTTTTATTTTAAACAAAAAAATATATTTTTTATGAAAATGTTTATATATGTATATATTACAGTATGATTAAATTAACTAGCCGTATTTTATTGAAGCAGGTAGAATATAGATATTAGTGCAAGACTTTTCAAAAGATTTAAGACACCTTGCTTGAAAATTATACCTGAAATACTTGCGGTAGATCGGTGGAGCCTTCAAAGACATTATTGTCGATGGACAAACGCGACAGCTTTGACACGAAATCTTTCTTTTTGTCATCGAAGGATACCGGGCTCTTTTCCTTCTTCATTTCATCCAAAGACTGGTCCCTCTGTTGCAAATTTATATTTTTTAACGTGCGATCCAGAATTATAATTTAGGATCCAATTATTAAATAATCCATAAAAGCGATCGTTTATCTAATAATGCAACAGAAATTTTTTTAACAAAAAAGGACGATATAAATGACGCATATAAATGACAAACAAGGGAGACATTGAGTGATAAGATCAGAGATAATTTGCGACGATACTACTTGACATTCTTGGCATATATTAAAATTAATAGCGACACTGATATATATGATAGATCGATCTCTTCTCGCGATTTATGTGATTCCAAAGCACGTTTTTTTACCTGCGCTCTCCGCGAAAGAACCTTAAGCACTACTCACAGGAATGTTATCGTGGCGGCAATATTTCGTCGTTGATCTAGGCTTGACTTTAAGATGATACTCCACCACGTTCGGTATGTTTGGCGTGTCGGGCACGACTGAGTCGGCAGCGGTTGACGCGCGTTCACGACCCTCGCTTCCGGCCCTGGTCGGAGGCGCTGATGTCGTTGATCCACCACCACCAACTTCCGACGTCTAATGGCATTTTATCAAGCTGTATAGACGTTAATCTATTCTCGTATCTTCACAACATGCATCTTAAAGCCTGGATTTATGCACTTTGCGTCACCATATTACGAGATTGTGCAATCTTTGTTTTCGTATTCAAATACGTACTATTTTAGTAATTTTTAAACATTTTCAAGATATAATTAGATTTTATAAGATTTTAGTCTGGGTCTTTATTAATGTTAGTAGAAATATTTTAATCGTATTTTGGAAGAGTTGTGATCATAAACAATTTATACGAAAATAAACGTACAAAATAACAATTCTTCGCGACATAACAAGAAACCAACCTTAGATGAAGAACAGATTCGTTGTTCGTTACGAATTATATTGTCGTCTGTTTGTTCATTGCTAACAGTGTGGATCTTTCTCATAACGTTATCGGATCTTTTCGCAAAACCAAAGTCCTCGTTTTCCATGACGGTCGGTTAAATCAGCTTCGTGGTTAATAGGAAATTTATCGCTTCCACCGTTTCTCCTTTTATCTTTTCTTTTTCTCGGTTCTTACATTTATCTTAGATTGAAGTAACGGGCTATCTGCAAATAATTCGTCGATACAGAATGCATTATTTTCTCGTGCTTTAAAATTCCATTGAACAATATAATACAAAAACACAAGATCTGTAATTCTTATGATGATCTACTTCCTCCGACATGTTTCTTGAAATGCGATCTCTATATATGAATAAACCGCGAATTTCAATGAATGACTTTGAGAATCTATGACAGACATGAATTTACCCCCTGTTACATTATAATTATTGCTATTTGAAGATGCGCCCGGGCGCGAAATTAAAAATGGACTTAACGTCTGAATTTCGACCGGAAAACAGCTGTCGAGCAGCACGTGTTGCACCTTGCATCGGCCTGCTTCTACCAAGCTTTTTTCTTCCTTTCTTCCACTTCAACGGATATTTGTGCTATTTATAATATATAATTGCTTGGATAGAAAATTTTTATTCATTTTATTGTTAATTCGATGAAAAATTAGTAAGAAAAAATTACATCTGTAAGTCCTTGAAAAAATTCGTGCGATTTTGAAGCCATTTTCATTTATTAATAATAATAATGTTAATAAATGGATTTAATAATAATAATATAAAATGATATATAATATTTTAAACAAAGATATTGACCATATTATCAACAATCTTTTGTCTTTCAGACAATAGTTTTAACCCGCACCGATAAAATGACTCATCTTTTAAGATTATCTATTCATTGACTTATTTTCATGCTTTCTCAATTATTTAAAACATTTTTTCTTTTATGATTTAGTGTAAATATCATAATTGTTGACTGTAACTCTTCTGTGATTGTCTATCTCGATGATAATAGCTAATAATAGCACCCGGTGATAGTAGAGCTTTTTGATCCACCAGATACGCAGAAGAATTTTATAATAATGTATGTTATATTTTGCAATGGATACCGATGAGTGGCCAGAGTGATCAATTATCATGATATTTTATATTTTAAATTGTCAAAATAAATCCATTTTTCCATCATCCGTAACTATTCACAAAAAACTTTTTTCTTATCTGGTAAACAATAAGAAACAGATGCTGAACCGATTCGCAAGCAGAAATGGCGTCATGCTGAAGTTATTTATTTTCTTTCACATTTTTTCGCCTTCCTTTTAAATGATACTGGATTGATTAGATACTGGATTGATTCATCAACTCCAATTTGCCTCTTTTAATGTTTGCATTTGCTGAGTTTTCATTGAACAATGTTTCCAATTCGTCATTCTTTATCTTATTTGAACAATCATAACATAGATTGTCATAATTACCATTTTTAAATCTTTTAAATCATTTTTCGCAAACAATAGCGAACACGACATTTTTTTTCTTTCATAGATCTGATAAATTATTCTTTTAGTTGTTGTAATTTCACCTCGATTAAAATAATAAAATATGCAAGATGAACTTTATCTTTTCATTTTCAATTGCGCTAAAAATTTAATATTTTCTTCAGAACTATAATTTGTCACACATCAATTGAGTTCGAGTATCAATACTTAAAAATAGAAAAACTTAAAAAATATTATTAAGTAATTATTACATCATCTATTTATGACTTTACGATCTTTTGCGAGCACCTATTAATTCCAACTATTATAGCACATAATATTTTCGATTATGCTAATTATACTTGTTACAACTTTCAATAATAATTATTTATACTTTCTTTTCTTCTTCGAATCACGTTCTTTGAGACAGTCACACATTTTTACATATTTTTACATATTGGTATATTAATTTATTTATGAGAAATCGTAAACTTTATATTTATTAATTTACAAATAAGTAAGAGTAAATGTATGAATGAATTATACGACGGACGGATGTTCACTGTTTTAACTTTCGCTGTTTTCTGTAAACGCACAGTGACAATGACAGGTTTTTGTTCACGTCTGTGATTACATCTCGACAGCGGATGCGCGGAACGCAATTGTATCGGCGATTTTAAACTTTACCAAGGGGGGGCTTTTCAGAGCCGACAGGAAATGACTCAGGTGACCGATAGTCAGGTGAGGAAGGATTCATTAATGTATTCCGTCCGTTACAGGTGTGGCGTGTTTCGGGTGTTTGGCTTTGTGTTTACGAGGCATCCGCGTGTATAAACGTTATTTCGAGAGTATACACTAAAAGCCTCGATGTATACATGCAAAAATGGAGATTTGAAACTAATAAATAGCACGAACAATAACTTCGGTGAAACAGTTCACGAATATATATCATATTATATTTTAAAGTTCAACAAATATTATTTTTTTACAAAAATATTTTATAATTGACAAAACATATAAATATATTTAAAAATATTGCAGAAGAGAATTTTTATTCAGATATAACAATTGTCTGTGCATCTTAAAAAAAAATAATTTTAACTCTCAGGAAGAAAATATGTGTGCGAAAGCGAAATGGAACACCAGGTACGTAACCGCATCTGTACACCTGTCGTCGAATTACACCCGCGTACAATAGCAGAATTGTTAATATGAACTACTATTTAACGGGTGTCTATTATAAACTGAAAGAAAGATCTTCTTTTAAAAAACATTCGTTTTACACAAGTATTTTATCGATATCAATAAATCGCGATTGCCTAAAATGGACATTTGCATGTTAACATTACGATTGTGTATAGCATCGAGAAATTGAACGACACGTCGATAATCAATCAGCACATTGCACTGTGCATGTGCATAATGTGAGAAGCAATAGAGAAGGTTCGGGATGTGTCCGATAACGGTAGCGTTAGCAGATGAAATAGAATCGCTGCTCGTTATTACGGTTTCTCCTAGATTTCCGTTATATTCGATGTTATACCTTGCAGAATCTCTCAGAATTTTTTACGTAATAAAGGAAATTGCAATGAAGCGTAAAAAAAAGTTTTGATGTAGCGAGCACACACAGTAGTGCTATTTATATAATATTACGCGATGGCGAAGCGCATTCCTCATCAATATCGATGCGACCGTCGAAGAAAAAATCGCCAACGTCGAAAACTTCACAGACATTATTCGCGACTCGTGATTATATCTGACAACGCGAAATCAGCTAATTCCCTCTTTTCATTTGCAGCTCGTGGAAGGGTGGAAACCGGAAGCGAGCGTCGCTGGATGTCTGACCGGAAGTTATTATGGTCATGTCACGAAGGAGCTCCAACGATGCGTGCCACGCATCCGTCCTCACGGAATTCGAACGGAATTCAGCGGATTGTGAATTCGTTGAGGGAAATCTAACAGTCGTGTAACGATTAAATCGCCACTCATTTCAACATAAATTCCTAAAAAAATCACATATGTTCCCTTATATCTTTTATACATATCAAGATCTTTGATAAAATAAGATTGATAAAAAATATAGTGTCTGATAAAAATTATCTGACATCCATCCTTCTATTTGCGTATGCATATGTTACTTTATTCCATCAGTACTCGCAATACTCAACGATAAACAAGTCAGGTGAATAAAATTCGTTTAAGCAGAATCATCGATTCTTGTAATTAAGATTCTCTTAATTCGATAAATAAAAATTAAAGAATAATTAAAAGTAGCATTTAAAAAAATGAAGTTTAAAAGCAAAATATTATATCAGCGAATTTATAAGCTTATTTACATATATAACTATTTCGAGTAAAAATTTTGTCTAAAATTTTGTCTAAAAATTAAAAGAAGCTTTTAATTATTTCGAGTCGAAAATTATTTAATTTATTTCATGTTATTGTGTAGGTCTTATTATTTTTCTTGAAACAATAATTAGGGACGCCATATATACATCTGCATGTATTATCATATCTCAAGATTGCTCAGTCAACCTTTGATAAAGATGATACGTCAGATGTCACAAATTTACGATCGAAAATCATTGTTGACAAGAAAACATACGCAATTATTCTCATAATCGCGAAGTGACTTATCGTTTGGCGATGCAGGGATGCGTGCGATTGCACAAGCACGACGGGAGACTATCAGCAGGCGAAACTATCGGGCGAGGAATTTACGACAGCCACGCCAAGCGCGGCACCGATCGTTAATTTAAACAATAGCCGCATGCTAATTACGACGATCGGACTCGCGGCGATGGAAATCAACTGCAACAAATCGCAACGAAATACAACGGATATTTTATCGGGAGAATCACGATCTCCGCTCGAAACGAAAAGGATGGATCGATTTATGGAGATCGCGATGAATCGGTCCGCCATCAATTATGATTCACGGGCGATCGGGACCGATAAATATATCGCAGGCGGCGAATCGTACCTTCGGCTATTTACCTTCACATTTCCTGAGGCGGTTGACATGATCGGCGAAACGCATACGCACATACACACGTAATAACACGCGCGCACGTTCTAAATCGAGATGGATTCTATGGCGTGCACTCCGCCCAGGTGCGATCGTTCGATCTCGATCTTACCGTTCGACGCACCTGCGGCGAGCGACGACGACGGTGGCGGCTGAAAAAGCCCTCGCTTCCGGAAACATCGTCGCATCGACGGTGCATCCGCGTGCGACGAGGCTCGCAGCGGTTCTGTCCGATCTCTCTGCGCGAATCCGAAACCGGAATATATCTAGGGAAACGATTGACAGGCACCTGCGGTATGCACTGTCGCGTACGTGCGACTGAAAATGTGGGACAGCGCGTTCGCCGCGCCGTTCGTTCGTTCGTTCGTTCGTCCGGAGTCGCGCTACTGATAAAACGGAACGAGCCTCGATAGAGCTGTATACATCCATACACGTACCCACACGAAGTGGCGTCAACTTGCGTACCGGCATACCTGTAATAAACTTGAGGTTGACACGAGCGATAAGACACGCACAAGCGATGCCGCTAGAGATTAATTGTATAATCGCGCGACATAAAAAAGAAATTTTTTCAGGTGCTCCGAAATTGGGGGATCTCTTATTTCGAATAATTATCATAGAATGCGGAATCGCATGAAATATTTCGATTAATCGTAGAGTAGAAATTATAGCTGTTGTATAAATTACAACAATTTCGATACCTAAAATTATATCTTCTTAAGATTATTCTTCTGTATAAATTTAATGATAAAAATGGGAGTCATCAACTCTGTTGCAGAACAAAGTGCGGCAAGAGCTTCCGACATTCACTCTCATTACGATCTTTAATGTATTACTTACGTAAGTAATACAATCAAATTCATGCGACAGAAAAGTAATCTTACGCAATAACGTTGGCAACTTTAATCGCGAGAAACAAAACTTATGTCTAAAAAATATTGCTATCATTCGACAAATCTATGCATCTATCAGCTCTCTTTCTCTCTATACTTTGTTCCGGATATCAATCACAATTGCATTGCGTAACATGACGTAATAAAATACACGCGAGAGCTTGTGATTAAATGAACATTTACATATGCAATTAATGTGGATCGGTGCCGCCATCGGTGCAAACAATGCGTCTCCCGTGAGTTCGTTTCTTCTCCCAAGAGAGAGAGAATTTAAGATATATTATATAATAAAACGGTAGGTTACACGATATCCTCATTTATTTTATACCATCGAATTTATCGTCGACGATCGACAAATCTTCAAAGAATCTTTTTTCTCTCGAAGCTGCCATCTTGATCCATGATGAATTATTTGATTCGCTCAGTGAACGATAAAAACGTGAGAATAGCTTTCGTGCTTCTTTGTTGGCATCTGACGACAGGGAAAGAAGATGCTCGGAAGTCAAGTCGTTATGAAATTACGGATTATATTGAATGAGTAGTCGTGCGAAGATGCTGGGCCGTTTTAAGAATGTCACGAAAGTGAAACGTTTCTTTGGAAACTTCTCTTATCAGATACATAACACAATATAATATTTCAATATAATATTTTAAATATTATTAGAAGCGAATGTGAATTATTTTTAATTGAATTATTTCGAAGCTAATTTGAAGGTTTTAGGAGATTGCTAATAAAATCTTGTTAATATAATTATGTTTCAACAAAAAGCTTTCAAATAACGCTTTCTTACACTTAATTTAAAAGTGATGTATATGAATTTTATCTTTCATTGCAATATTTTATTTGTTCTTACGCCAAATTCTTGCGAATAGATCGTTAAGTTCTCAGTGCAAATTTAGATTAGGAACATTTTCGAAAACGACACGCTAATGATGAGTTATTCAATAGAAGAGAATAGAAGAGACATTCTCCAACAATGTGTGTCGGTGTTCTTTCAAAGCTGTTTCGTTGGCGCCTGGTCGCAAAAGTAATAAACAGACCTTCCCACGATTGCCGCGTATATTTTGCAATCGCTCCGATATGTAATTAACACAAGCAGACAGATAATTTAATTAAGAACAATATTCTGCACCCGCGCTCCTCATCCGCACGTAATGCGCGCCGCAATACGATCCGTGCGAAATCGGCCGTAAGGAGAGAGGGATGCGTTCTCCAAACACTTGTTTCCTGTTGTTCTTGAAATGCATCACATTGACGCAATGTTTCAATAATATAAAATCGACGAAGCATAACGCACGCAATTAAGAAATTTATTCATGTAGCGTGAAAAATGCGTTATTTTTTTTAGAAAATCTGTTATTTAATCTATTTATTTACTGTTAAAAGAAAAGTTTTCGAGTTAAATTAATTTGATAATTTTAATTATATATAATTATTTATATATAATGTCTTTTATAATATATAACAATCAATGTAATATAAATGTAAAGTAATGTAATTATAAAAAATTTAATTAAAATGAAAAATTTAATTTTCTTTTGCTCCAAAGAAAATAAATATAGTTGTACGGTTCAGTTCATGATGTATGAGTCATTGACGACTGGGCATCTAATTATCTCAAGTGTTTGCATGTCAATATGGAAAAACTTGTAGGTGCCAATTATACATCGTTAATTGGCATAAAACGTGTTTCGAAAATTAAGGGTTTCGGAACGGAAGATGCGATGCGCTCGCGCAACAGAATGCAAATGAACGACTCAGCTTCGCGCGAGATGCGATTTGCGATTCTTAATTCCGCGATGTATCTCAAGGTCGCATCTTTCGCGAGCACACGAAGACTTTTTCGTGTGAAATTCAAACGTCAAGCTCATAATAAATGTCATCGTTATCCCACAGGCAAAAAAAGAGAGGCCAGCATTCATCCCCTCAAAGAAGAATTTTAGAGGTTTTGTTATGTCTTTACATCGCACGAATTTATGTGATCTATCGCGATGCCATAATTGCGCGATATAAAGCGAATCGCGCAATTACGGCATCGCGATAGATCACATAAATTCGCACACTGTCGCGACATCCATCATGGTTATTAAAGGATCATTAAAGGACCGCGTTAGCGGGTCACAATAAAACGCGTAATTATCGCTCATTGTGATTCAGGGTGAAAGCGTTAGTTGCCAAAATAAGAATTGTATGTCACATCACGCCATTGTACGATCGCGAGAATTTCAAAGGATGATAAAAGATAGACGTAGAATCAAATTTGTTGAAGCGTGATATGACAAATAACTATGAGTGTTGAGCGACAGCGCAACCTTGGATCTATTGCAGGATAAAGACGAATCATTTCGGAGTCCGCCCTGTTGACGAGCATTTCCGTTTCATGGAAAAATCTAAAATCAAAAAAGAAAAAAAACCCATATCTGATCGAAGAAACCGACGCGGTGATCTCAACCCCTCCAGCGTAGATGCACAAAACAGTAATTAACGATACGATCACGCAATCTAAGAATATTCGATTGCTTATGTAACAAATTGATACGTCAATCATACTTTAGCGAAGTGGAAAAGTGTTGAATTCTAATGTTAAATATTACAAGAATAAAAATTTGTATCTAATATAAAAGTTTTTTCTATTTTTTTTTGTTTCAATTTAGAATCTGTATTTATGATTCCACTAAAAATTTCGTTATCAGTTGGAAAATAAAATTATAAAATTTTTATTGCGAGACGATTTTAATTATTAATTTTATCTCTCTCTGGCATAAACTATACTTATAATATAGTCTTATATAATCTTATAAACTTATTATATAATCATACGATATTTTTCTTAGTTGTTTGCAATTCGAAATAGCAGCTGGAATAATTAGACACATAATTCTCAAGAAAAAGTAGCTAATTTATTGAACACATCTTGATCGAATAAAGATCAAATGAAGCACATACCGAATTCAATTAAATTCCATTGATTAATTATGAGAATGATCTCTTCTCTCTTTCTCTTTAAATATGGGTAAAACTTTAGCAAAGTTTTATGCAAAAATTTCAAATATAAGAGAAAAAATAAGAATAAACATAATTGCTTAGACTTTCTTCTATTCGGAGAGAGATAAGAAAAAGAGCAAATACATTACAATGGTTCAAGTACAATGGTTACGAATATTTTCACGGGTGTTAGACCACGAGACAACGATTGTGTAAGAACAGAATCTCTGCTGCATCACAGGGGAACATCCCTCCTTCCATCGCTCTGGGATCTTCTCTTTCTCCGTTCGTCTGATGTGGGAGCCCCAAGAAAGAGAGACTCTCAAGAATCCCCCCTTTTTCTTGATCGAAGTCTAAAGCCATATATATACCACCACTTCGTAGAACAATCCTTTGAGAAAGATACTTTGGAAGTAGCATCGCCTTGCGAACCTAAAACACTTGGGATAAGTCATCACCTTTCGTAAGTGCAGTGCACGGAAAACTGGAAAGACAAGGAACACGAAAAGATAAATGATCACCACGCAGTACGATACTGCGGATTAAGGAGACCAGCTTTTTCGAAAAGGTAGGCACCTGTGACTGTAATTCTCTATTTCATCTCTCGTTAACTTTTCGTTACTTTTTGTTCCTAAAAAAATATTCCATCGCAATGCCTTGAAATTATGTGACAGAGAAATTGACAAAGTAAATATATTAAGTATTTAAATTTCTCTTACACATATAAAATCAAAAAGGATTCTAATGTATTTTTTATAATTTTTTCCTAATTAATTATTTAGTACTTAAAGATCTTGCATTTTTAGATGATTTCGAGGTATCAAGTAGTCTGCGCTGTTTTGCTTTTTGGCGCGGTTTTAATCTATCAAACAATGGCGGTAAGTTAAAAGTTTTACATATTAAATTTCTCAATTCAAATCATCCCCTTCAAACCTGATAAATAATATCGTAAGAAATCTTTTCATAAACTAACAAAAAATTATATCCTCAAATGATTGTGTGCATGTGCGCAACATGTATGACATTGGTGGGAAGGTATTTCGTAAATACTTCACTTTTACAAAACTAGTACGTTGAATTAAAGCACCAAATTATTATTTTCATCGCAGCTTCCCACGATGTATCGCGTAACAATAACAGTGAACCATATCTGCACGCATCATCTTTTTCCAGGTGGTAACATTAAGTAATTCATTAATTAACCTATGTTACGCGGACGTGCTTTCTCGCTGGCATACGAAATACCTTGTTAGGTAAAGTCGCCCAAAAGCACTTTAACTCATGAATACTTTCATCATTTCAAGATTCTGAATAAACACTGAACTTTCAATATCGTGTAATAGTTAAAGAAAATTTGCCGCGTAAACTTTTTCTTATTTTAGTATCACGAATAATCGTAGAGAATTCATACATATTTTTATAAAATATTAAAATATTAAAATATCAAAATAAAATATGACATATCCTACTATATTAATAAATTTGAATAAAAAATAATGTACGAACA